CCTTCCATCTGGAAACTGATGCTCTCACTGTGGGAGAAGATGCGGATCAAGAATAGGGCTCCACAGCCACCTACGGACTCACCGCCAGGGCACCACATATAGAAGACAATCACCCTCGAGCTACGAGTGATCGTCTAAGTAAGTAAGTTTGTCTGTAAATCAACTTTTTAGTGCCCTCCCCCACCCTCTCTCCGTGGATTGAATGCAAACTAGTACTTCTGCACATTGGACTCAGTTTGCAGTGATGGAATGATGCTGAGGATAATCCTGGCCTTCCACCTAGTTGGGTGCTCTATCTTAAGCCTGAATAAATATAGATCCATCCATATTTGCATAAGGTATTTAAACTGCACAATGAGCACACAATTTTGGTTACTTCATGGCAATAATACACATCTAGCCCTGTTCAGATGCATGCAGGTGTAGATGGTCCACTGGGAAAAAATAAATTGACTTTGTATTAAAAACATATCAATTTAGCAGTGAAAATCCACTGGTGGATGAGATGCAAGTTCTTCAAGACAAAAATAAATTACACTGGGAGAAACTTAAATTGAAAAAGTTTCCAAAAGGAGCATACTGCCCTGTAGTGGCAAGATAGATGCATTGAACCAGGAGAACTTGGAATAGGTGGGTTCTTGAACTCTCCTCCACATAGTCTGCTCTTCTTCAAAGAACGTCTCTTCAGGCTACTTCCAATCCAAGACCTAATAAGCAACATTAATCAACTCATAAATTAAGAATATGGTTATAGTTATGTGTTCAGGGAGCACACAACCCCCCCTGCTACGCAGGCTCCACTGGATGCCAGTTTGCTACCATTTGCATGTTTTTGAAGTGCTAGGTTGGCAGAAGCTGGGGCTAACAGCAGGAGCTCACGCCACTCCCTGGATTCGAACCTGTGACCTTTCGGTCAACAAGTTCAACACCTCAGCGCTTTAACCCACTGCGCCACTGGGGGCTCTAGATTATCATTAGTAGTTGTCATATAATGCACTTGTACTTCCTATGCCTGAACAGGTAAGAACAGCAGAAAATGGACGTAATTCTCAGCTACTCTCCTGATCCCCACCTCTTTCCATTTCCTGGGTTTAAAGGGGAGACCATTATTACTTACAAGCATAGGGAGCTGTCCTATATTGACAGAGAACAGGGATCCATTTGACCCCAGACAGTGGTCACAAACCCACAGCAGCTCTCTGGGTTTTCCAGACCAGTTTCTTTCACTGGAGATGCTGCAGAAATGGGTTGAAATAGCTCTGGGGAGGGATGGAAGAGTAGAAGAGCCATGCAATATTTGGTTATTGAATGTATAATGGCCTTCCACTTTTGCGCATATTAGTAGTGAGTGAAGGATTCCAGCAAAAGAAAGGAAAAAAAAACAATTAAAAACTGCTTTTTATATGAGAGAACACCTCCAAAGAATCTGATTCTCGTTATTTATTTATCGTGTCATCCGCAGTCAGAACATTGTATTACATTTTTAACAGAACAAAACAAACAAACAGATTAAAAAAACCCACAAATTTTGCAAACTTGGTAGTTGATTAAATGTCCTTTGACCAGTATCTGGCCACTTGGAGTGCTTCTGGTGTTGCTGCAAGAAGGTCCTCCATTGTGCATGTGGCAGGGCTCAGCGTGCATTGCAGCAGGTGGTCAGTGGTTTGTTCTTCTCCGCACTTGCATGTCGTGGATTCCACTTTGTGGCCCCATTTCTTGAGATTGCTCTGCATCTCGTGGTGCCAGAGCGCAGTCTGTTCAGCGCCTTCCAAGTCGCCCAGTCTTCTGTGTGCCCAGGGGGGAGTCTCTCATCTGGTATCACCCACGGATTGAGGTGCTGGGTTTGAGCCTGCCACTTTTGGACTCTCGCTTGCTGAGGTGTTCCAGCGAGTGTCTCTGTAGATCTTAGAAAACTATTTCTTGATTTAAGTTGTTGACGTGCTGGCTGATACCCAAACAAGGGATGAGCTGGAGATGTCTCTGCCTTGGTCCTTTCACTATTGGCTGCAACTTCCCGGCGGATGTCAGGTGGTGCAATACCGGCTAAGCAGTGTAATTTCTCCAGTGGTGTAGGGCGCAGACACCCTGTGATAATGCGGCATGTCTCATTAAGTGACAGTTGGATACAGAATGGCTGGGGAAGACCTAGATGCTCAAAGTGACAAAAAGAACAAAAACACACAGACCAATGTCATCTCTTCCATAGGAGGCTTTCCTTTATGGTTGCACTATTTACAAGAACAAGGTTTCCATAACACAGATAAACAAACACATAGGCTGCCTTCATACTGGAGCTTTCTCACAGGAGGCTTCTCTCACAGAGGTTTGCCTCAAACTCCTCAGGATGATGCTAGCTTTGGCCCACAAATAGGCTTCGGCCTGCTAACTTTCAGTTCTTGGCTCACTTTTGTAATAAAAAATACCCAGTTAATTTTTTTAATATTTCTGACAAGATAGCCGTCTGTGGGGAGTGCTTTGTGTATCCCTCCCTTCCTTTTGTAAAAGCCTGAAGACCTGGTGGTTTAAACAAACCTTTGAGAACGACTAGTTCTAGCTCTGCCCCAGATACTGTTGAAATTGGCCATATCTTCTTCTTATACCAATTACCCAGGTCACTCTCTTCTGTTAGGCCCTGGAAGTGTATAGCCATAGACTCTACCTAATTTCCCGGGCCCTCTAAAATCGCAGTAGCCCGGCCCAGCCTTTTAAACTGCCGTGATCAGGCATGATATCTATATATAAAAAAATGCTCTGTGCATAATGAGTACCTTAAAAACAAAAGAACCAATGAACGAAATCACACCAAATTTGGCAAAAAAATGTCTCACAACACAAGGAGTGACCATCACTCAAAAAATTATGATTTTGTCATTTGGGAGTTGTAGTTGCTGGGATTTATAGTTCACCTACAATCAAAGAGCATTCTGAACTCCATCAACGATGGAATTGAACCAAACTTGGCACACAACTCCCATGACCAACAGAAAATACTGGAAGGGTTTGGTGGGCATTGACCCTGACTTTGGGAGTTGTAGTTCACCTACATCCAGAGACTACCATGGACTCTAACAATGATGGATCTGGACCAAACTTGGCACAAGCACTCAATATGCCCAAACAGATGGAGTTTGGGGAAAATAGACTTTGGCATTTGGGAGTTGTAGTTACTGGGGTTTATACACCTACAATCAAAGAGCGTTCTGAAACCCCACTGACAGAATTGGGCCAAACTTCTGACACGGAACCCCCATGACCAACAGAAAATACTTAAGGCCATCCAGTCCAGCTCCCTTCACCAGGGCAAGAAAATGTAATCAAAGCCCTCCTGACAAAGAGTCATCCAGCCATAGATATTGATAGATATGATTCACACACACATATAGTATCATTGATTTGAAAGGGACCCTTAAAGAAGGACAATATGTTGGATGTTCCAGAGTAGGCAAACCAGACTCTCCACAGCAACACTGACAAAGAAACAGTAAGAAATACTGTTTACCCTCAAGCATAAAGGAATTACATATATTAGAAACCAACACTTTCTCATTACTTTATTTTCCAGATCAACAGAGTTGGCCACAGCAACGTGTGGCAGGGGACAGCTAGTTTTAAATATGTGTTATTATAAGAAATAACTTTGATTCAAATATAAGCTGAGGGGGGCCTTTTCAGAAAAGTGAACTATTGTCCTAGGATCATTTATTTATTTATTTGGGGTTCTTTTACCCCGCCCTTCTCACCCCGAAGGGGACTCAGGGCGGCTTACAGAAACAAGGCACAATTTGATGCCTGCATCATAAACAATCATACACAAAATTACAACAATTCACAGTTGACATGCATGCATTATAACCATAAAATCAATAAAATCATTAAAACCAAATACAAACCCAGTTTCTCCTCTTACATGGTCAGCGTTTGTTAACACCTAGATCTAGTTTTTCGTTCCATTCATCCATCCTGCTGGTCTTACTTGCCTGATTGTCTGATTTAATTGCCAGAGTGCCCAAAGGCCTGGTCCCATAACCAAGTTTTCACCCTCCTCCTGAAGGCGAGGAGGGATGATGATGCCCTGATTTCCCCCGGGAGTGAGTTCCACAGGTGGGGGGCCACCACTGAGAAAGCCCTGCTCCTCGTCCCCACCAGCCTCACTTGTGACAGTGGTGGGGTCGAGAGCAGGGCCTCCCCAGATGATCTCAAACTCCGGGGTGGGACGTAGAGGGAGATACGTTCGGACAGATACACTGGACCGGAACCGTAAAGGGTTTTGTAGGTCAAAACCAGCACCTTGAATTGTGCTCGGAACTGTACCGGCAGCCAGTGGAGCTGACACAACAGGGGGGTGGTGTGCTCCCTGTATGTCGCTCCGGTGAGCAATCTGGCTGCCGCTCGCTGGACCAGTTGAAGTTTCCGGACAGTCTTCAAGGGCAACCCCACGTAGAGCGTTGCAGTAATCTATTCGGGATGTAACAAGAGCGTGGACCACTGTGGCCAGATCCGTCTTCCCAAGGTACGGGCGCAACTGGGGCACAAGTTTTAATTGTGCAAAAGCTCTCCCAGCCACCGCTGAGACCTGGGGTTCCAGGCTCAGCGGATGAGTCCAGGATCACTCCCAAGCTGCGAACCTGCGTCTTCAGGGGGAGTGTAACCCCATCCAGCACAGGCTGTAACCCTGTATGTATTGATTATGTTACTTGGAAACCGCTCTAAATCCCCTTGGGGAGACAGTGATATATAAAGTTTTGTTGTTGTGTGTCCCTGACTGGCAGAGCAGGACTGAATAGCAAGTGGATTATATGACTGCAATGCCTCGGCCTGACCATTAGGTGGCAGCAAAGGGCAACCCAGGATCTGTGAAGCCGGCTTCTGCCTCTCCCTCCTTCCCGCAGCTGACTGTCAAACTACTCCCTCCCCGGCCAGCTAGGAATGATTTGTATGACTTATAATTGTGATCTGTGGCTGTATGATGTTTTTTAAAAAGCTTAAGACGACCCACTACGTTGAGATAACCCATATATCCTTTATTAGACGTGTATTATATATAGGGATGAGTTTTGTCCCGGAGATGATGGCAGGCGAGTGTCTCCAGCTCTTTCCGTCGAAGAGGTGGGTGGCTCTGAAAAGAGCCTTTGGGTTTTGGGAGCCTCTCTTTCTCCTCCTCCTCCTCTCAGGCTTACTTGGAGCTGGTGTACTTGGTAACGGCCTTGGTGCCCTCGGAGACGGCGTGCTTGGCCAGCTCCCCGGGCAGGAGGAGGCGCACGGCGGTCTGGATCTCGCGAGAGGTGATGGTGGAGCGCTTGTTGTAGTGGGCCAGGCGGGAGGCCTCGCCGGCGATGCGCTCAAAGATGTCGTTGACGAAGGAGTTCATGATGCTCATGGCCTTGGAGGAGATGCCCGTGTCAGGGTGCACCTGCTTCAGCACCTTGTAGACGTAGATGGAGTAGCTCTCCTTGCGGCTCTTGCGCCGCTTCTTGTCCCCCTTCTTCTGGGTCTTCGTCACCGCCTTCTTGGAGCCCTTCTTGGGCGCGGGAGCGGACTTGGCGGGTTCTGGCATCGTTGCGTTCACTGACAACTCTGAGGCAGGCGAACTCCTTCCCTCCCTGTATTTATAGTCTCCCTATGCAAATGAAGGGTTCCAAAGCAGGACGTTCCTATTGGCGGGGAGATTTCTGCTGGCATGCAAATGAGAGTTCTGTAATTCTCGGCTTCCTATTGGAGGTGGTGAGCCTCCGACTGTTCTAAATGGCCGGCGTGAAAGCAAGGCGTTCTGATTGGCTCTAAACGGCTCTTGTGGCCAATCGGCGGCGGCGCTGCCCTGCGCGAGGAAGGCATAAAAGGCCCCGGTGGGGTTTTTTTCCCGCTTGTTTTAATTGCTCTCTCGCGCGGTGTGGGTGTGCTCGAGGGGAATCAGGGTTGCCGCAATGTCCGGCCGTGGCAAACAAGGAGGCAAAGCGAGGGCGAAGGCGAAGTCTCGCTCTTCCAGGGCAGGGCTCCAGTTCCCCGTCGGCCGTGTCCACCGCCTTCTCCGCAAAGGGAACTACGCCGAAAGGGTGGGAGCCGGGGCCCCGGTTTACCTGGCCGCGGTGCTGGAGTACCTGACGGCCGAGATCCTGGAGTTAGCTGGCAACGCGGCTCGTGACAATAAGAAGACCCGTATCATCCCCCGCCACTTGCAGCTGGCCGTTCGCAACGACGAGGAGCTGAACAAGCTCTTGGGGGGAGTGACCATCGCCCAGGGCGGAGTCCTGCCCAACATCCAGGCCGTGCTCTTGCCCAAGAAGACCGAGAGCCACAAGGCCAAAGGCAAATGAGGAACGCATAGCAGTGCCACACAAACGGCTCTTTTCAGAGCCACCCACTCATGTCAACAAAGGGGCTGGAATCGTGAGCATCTCGGCTGAGAAGTGAACACAGGTTGACATCACTTGAAATACCTTGTCTCAGTGACATAGAGTCCTGGGAGTTGTAGTTTGGAGCACCAGCACACTTGGACAGAAGCCTGAGCTTGTCAAACAGCTCCCATTATGCCATAGCATTATTCCATGGCAGTTAAAGTGGAATCAGGTTGCATTATTGTTACTGTATAATAATAATTATATATAATAATTATAATCTATTATATATTGTAAAAAGGTAAAGGTTTCCCCTGACATTAAGTCCAGTCATGTCTGACTGGGGTGTGGTGCTCATCTCCATTTCTAAGCCAAAGAGCTGGCATGACCTCCAAGGTCATGTGGCCAGCATGACTGCATGGAGCGCCGTTACCTTCCCACCGGAATGGTACCTATTGATCTACTCACATTTGCATGTTTTCGAACTGCTAGGTTGGCGGAAGATTATATATTGTAATAGTATATTATATATTTTATATTATTATATAATAAAATATATAATATAATTTATTATATATTATTACTATTAATATATGTAACTAGCCATCCCCTGCCACGCGTTGCTTTCTGGTGATCTGGAAAATAAAGCAGCGAGAAAGTGTTGGTTCCTAATATATGTAATTTCTTTATGTTTGTGGATAAATGCCTCCTTTCCATTCTGAACAGCAAAGGTTTGCTGTTGAATATCCATCCACTTGATGCTTTACCAGGAAACCTTGCCTGTGCCATAAGAATCCCACAGCGTAGAAGCACCCCACGCGGCCCTTGGGAGAGTCACACTCTCTCAGCCTCAGGGAGGAAAAGGCAAGCCCTCTTGGAACAAACCTGGCCCAAAATCCCCGTGAGAGGTTCACCTTGTGGAGACCATAAGTGGGAAACAACCTGAAGGAGACAGACAGCAACAGTAATAATTGCTTTAACTGTTTTTAATTTGCTTTAGGTTGTGTATTGTTATGTTGTGTTTTGAGGCCTTGGCCTTTGTAAGCCGCATCGAGTCCGTCGGGAGATGCTAGCAGGGTACAAATAAAGTTAATAAATAAATAAATAATTATTATTAATAATAATAATAACAATCACTTTATTTTGTTGACTACTGAATGAAGAACAAAGTGATCTTGTATTGTCAAAGGCTTTCATGGCTAGAATCACTGGGTTATTGTAGGTTTTTTGGGCTGTATGGCCATGTTCCTGAGGCATTCTCTCCTGACGTTTTGCCTGCATCTATGACAGGCATTCTCAGAGGTTGTGACCTCACAACCTCTGAGGATGCTTGCCATAGATGCAGGCGAAACGTCAGGAGAGAATGCTTCTAGAACATGGCCATATAGCCCAAAAAACCTACAACAACCCAGTGATTCCAGCCATGAAAGCCTTCGACAATACAAGATCACTTTGTTCTTCATTCAGTATTCACCCGCACATAACAAAATACTAGAGCAGAAAGTTCTCAAGGCTCTATTGTCACAATGTTACCTGTCATTAGTGACAACTTGCTGTTTTTCCTTACCATGGGAAAGGCTTTTAAGTAAACTAAGCTAAGCAGGGACAGCTCTGGTTTGTGCTTGGGTAGGAAACCGCCAATTACGCCTAGATTCCATTGCAGCGAAAGGAATGAGCAAATCCACCTCTAGGGATTCGCTGCCTTGCCAAGTAACGCTATGATGGGCATAGGATATAGACAGCAGCGAAGGCAGCTCTTTGCTGACAGGGTGGTGGCCCTTAAAAGGGCCTTTAGGTTCGCTGGGTGGTCGGAGGCGCTGGCTTTAGCCGCCGAAGCCGTAGAGGGTCCTCCCCTGGCGCTTGAGGGCGTAGACCACGTCCATGGCGGTCACCGTCTTCCTCTTGGCGTGCTCCGTGTACGTCACAGCATCGCGGATCACGTTCTCCAGGAAGACCTTCAGCACGCCGCGCGTCTCCTCATAGATCAGCCCGGAGATGCGCTTCACGCCCCCGCGACGAGCCAGGCGCCGGATAGCCGGCTTGGTGATGCCCTGGATGTTGTCGCGGAGCACCTTCCGGTGACGCTTGGCGCCTCCCTTCCCCAAGCCCTTCCCACCTTTACCACGACCGGACATGACTGCAGCTCTCCACACACGCTCTGCGCTAATGCCCTCCTCGCTTTAGTGCTTGGTGTTATATTGACTAATGCCCGACCAGAAGGAAAACTGGAAGCAGTGTCAGAGGAGGCGACGAGCTTCACATTCGTACCTCCCCATAGAACGCCGCTCACTCGTCTCGGCCAATGAACAACGAGAGCCTTTTGAAACGACCAATCAGACATCCCCACTTGAATAAGGACAAAGTGGCGCCTTTCTTTAGTTTTCTCCACCTCCTCTCCCCTCAAGCCGGCAATGGGAATGTCACATCCTGGTACTTTGGGACTAAACCTTGTCAAACCTTGTCCAATAAGAAGAACTATTTCAATGCAGCCAATAAAGGAGCAGTTACTGTTATTTCGCTGGAAGAGAATAATAATAATGATAATAATAATAATAATAATAATAATAATCGCCAAACTCCTCTGGGACTTCCGGATTCAGACAGACAGAGTTTTGGAGCATAATACTCCTGACCTCACAATCGTGCTAAAAAAAACAAAGTATGGATCGTTGATGTCGCAATCCCAGGTGACAGCAGGATTGCAGAGAAACAACTGGACACGATATGAGGATTTAAAAATCGAACTGCAAAGACTCTGGCACAAACCAGTCAAGGTGGTCCTCATGGTGATCGGCACACAGGGTGCAGTGCCTAAAGACCTTGGTCTGCACTTAAACACAATCGGCGCTGACAAAATTACCATCTGCCAGCTGCAGAACTCCACCTTACTGGGATCTGCACGCATTGTTCGCTGATACATCACACAGTCCTTGACACTTGGGAAGTGTCCGATGTGTGATCCAATTCAACAGCCAGCAGAGTGTCTGCTGTGGACTCATCTTGTTGTGTTTCTAATAATAATAATAATAATAATAATAATGAGTCATCTCAGGGCTGGAAAATAAAAAAGTCTGGAATATTGATGTTGCCATACCAGGTGACAGTCGCATTGAGGAAAAACAACAGGAAAAACTCAGCCGTTATCAGGACCTCAAAATCGAACTGCAAAGACTCTGACATAAACCAGTGCAGGTGGTCCCAGTGGTCATCGGCACACTGGGTGCCGTGCCAAAAGATCTCAGTCGGCATTTGGAAACAATAAACATTGACAAAATCATGATTTGTCAACTGCAAAAGGCCACCTTACTTGGATCTGCGCGCATTGTTCGCAAATACATCACACAGTCCTAGACGCTTGGGAAGTGTTCGACTTGGGACTCTGTGATACGAAATCCAGCATATAGATCTTGTTTGCTGTGACATACTGTGCTTTTGTGTCAGTAAAATAATAATAATAATAATAATAATAATAATAATAATAATAATCTTTATTTATACCCCGCCACAATCTCCCCAAGGGGAATTGGGGCAGCTTACATGAGGCCAAGTCCAGTAGTACAATAAAACAACATACAACAAGAACACAGTAGGAAAAAAAATAACCAATATAAATATACACATCGAACAATATAAAACAACATAAAATCAGAACATTTGAACACAGAAAATTAATCACAGTGGGCACGGCCAGTTGCAAAGAATTAAAATTTAAAAACACTGGGTGAGAGCAATGTAATGTATCAGGATAGGTTTTGATGCTTTTCCTAATAACACTATACAAGACGATTTTTGTTCCTGGGTTATAAGTGTCATTTTTTATTGGTCCTATCACAAAAACATGGGAAAAACTGCAAAAACTTTGTTTTTGTGGGACATCCATCCTTCAGCACATTTTGCTACAGTGTTTCCAATGAATATTTCATGGAGGTTCAATCAATTCAACATAGTTTGTGGCAGCCACAAAAACGAAGTTTCTGGAATACAACTACTTTCAAGGTAAGTACTGTACAGTTAAACAGGAAATCACACTTTCAAACCAGGAACTTATTATTTTTCAGATTTTGTTACATGGTGTAATTCTTCTCAACCACCTGTCAAAACAGTTGAAGCAGTACAATTTACCATATATTTGAAGATTAGGGCTGAAAGAAACAGGGTGGAAAAAAGGTGGTAAAACTTTTCATTTTCCCTTCATCTGTGCATCTACACCATGGAATGAATGTAGTTTGACACCACCTTAACTACCATGGCTCAATACTGTACAACTCCAACTCCCAGAATTCCATAGCAATGAGCTATAACCATTCAAGTGGTGTCAAACTGCATTCATTCTACAGTGTAGTGACATCCCATGACTCCAAAAATGTTTAGACCTTGTTTGGCCTCAGCACCATTCAAATGGACAACTTGCTCTGAAACACAAATTCATCCATACAATGCTGAAGTGAAGGGGAAAAATGTGAAATAAAACCAGGAAAATATGTAGAGGATCAAAGGTGGAAAATAGTTGATGCAACTCTAAAGTGAAGAATGCCAAGTTGATGTAATCACTTTATTATGTGATGGATATTCTCCAAAATCTCCTAAGAAGGCAGCTCATCCCATGGATATTATTTCAAATGCAATTCAAATGTAAAATAGATCAAGAGTAAGGGTCAAACCTGGGGAATAACAGTTAGAGTGCTCAAGGGCCAGGGCTTCCCTGTTCTCGGTGTCTATGCCAGACTTTTTAAGGTTAGCTTTGAGCCCATCTTTAAATCTCTTTTCCTGCCCACCAACATTACGTTTCCCGTTCTTGAGTTTGGAGTAGAGTAACTGCTTTGGGAGACAGTGGTCGGGCATTCAGACAACGTGGCCAGTCCAGTGGAGTTGATGGTGGAGGAGCATCACTTCAATGCTGGCAGTCTTTGCTTCTTCCAGCACACTGACATTAGTTCTCCTGTCTTTTCAAGACATTTGCGGGGTTTTTGGAGGCAATGCTGATAGAATCATTCCAGGGGTTGGGTGTGACATCTGTTGACTGTCCATGTTTTGCAGGCGTATAGTAGGGTTGGGAGGACAATAGCTTTATAAACAAGCACCTTGGTCTCTCTACGGATGTCCCAATCCTCAAACACTCCCTGTTTCATTTGGAAAAATGCTGCACTTGCAGAGCTCAGGTGGTGTTGTATTTCATGTCAATGTTGACTTTGTGGAGAGGTGGTTGCCAAAGTAGTGGAAATGGTCAACATTTTCTAACATTACACCATTAAGCTGTATTTCTGGCATCACAGAGGAATTGGCTGGTGCCTGCTTGAAGTGCACTTTGGTTTTCTATATGTTCAATGAGAGGCTGAGCTTCTTGTATGCTTCTGTAAAGGTGTTTAAAGTGGTTTGTAGATCTTCTTCTGAATATGCACAGACTTTGTTATCATTGGCATACTGGAGTTCTATACCAGATTTTGTTGTGACCTTTGTTTCGGTTTTCAGTCTGCTGAGGTTAAATAGCTTGCCATCTGTCCGATAGATAATTTCCACTTCGGTGGGAAGCTTCCCATCAACAAGATGGAGTATCATAGCGATGAGGATGGAAAATAAGGTTGGAGCAATAAAACATCCCTGTTTGGGTCACTTTGGAGGAAGAACAAGGGGATGATAGGGCCTCTTTGAGGAGAAGAGGGGCAATGCTGACAGGGGATAGGGAAAAGACAGAACCACTTATGCCTTCTTTGCCTCGGTCTTCTCACAAAAAGAAAGTCATCTTCAACCTCGCAAGATGGAGTGAATGAGGGATTAGAGGACATCCAACCCCAAATTGGGAAACAAGTCATCCAGGAATACCTGGCTGCTCTAAATGAGTTCAAGTCCCCAGGGCCAGATCAACTACACCCAAGAGTACTGAAGGAACTAGCGGAAGTCATTTCGGAACCATTGGCAACCATCTTTGAGAGTTCTTGGAGAACGGGAGAAGTTCCAGCAGATTGGAGGAGGGCCAATGTGGTCCCAATCTTCAAGAAGGGAAAAAAAGGACGACCCAAACAACTACCGTCCAGTCATCCTCATGTCGATACCAGGCAAGATTCTGGAAAAGATTGTCAAGGAAGTGGTCTGCAAACACTTAGAGACAAATGTGGTCATTGCTAATAGTCAACATGGATTTATCAAAAACAAGTCATGCCAGACTAATCTGATAGAGTTACAAGCTGGATAGATGTGGGGAATGCCGGGGATGTAGTGTGCCTGGATTTCAGTAAGGCCTTTGACAAGGTCCCCCATGACCTTCTGGCAAACAAACTAGTCCAATGTGGGCTAGGCAAAACTACGGTGAGGTGGATCTGTAACTGGTTAAGTGGATGAACCCAGAGGGTGATTCTCCCCAATGCTTCCTCTTCATCCTGGAAAGAAGTGACGAGCGGAGTGCCGCAGGGTTCCGTCCTGGGCCCGGTCCTGTTCAACATCTTTATTAATGACTTAGATGAAGGGCTAGAAGGCAGGATCATCAAGTTTGCAGACGACACCAAATTGGGAGGAATAGCCAATACTCCAGAGGACAGGAGCAGAATTCAAAACGATCAGATTAGAACGACAGATTAGAGAGATGGGCCAAAACTAACAAGATGTTCAATAGTGACAAATGCAAGATACTCCACTTAGGCAGAAAAAACGAAATGCAAAGATACAAAATGGGGGATGCCTCGCTCGAGAGCAGTACGTGTGAAAAAGATCTTGGAGTCCTCATGGACAACAAGTTAAACATGAGCCAACAATGTGATGAGGTGTCAAAAAAAGCCAATGGGATTTTGACCTGCTTCAACAGGAGCATATTGTCTAGATCTAGGGAAGTCATGCTACTCCTCTATTCTGCCTTGGTTAGACCACACCTGGAATCACACTGTGTCCAATTCTGGGCACCACAATTGAAGGGAGATGTTGACAAGCTGGAATGTGTCCAGAGGAGGGCGACCAAAATGATCAAGGGTCTGAAGAACAAGCCCTATGAGGAGCGACTTCATGAGCTGGACATGTTTAGCCTGAAGAAGAGAAGGCTGAGAGGAGACATGATGAGGGCCATGTATAAATATGTGAGAAGTCATACAGAGGAGGGAGCAAGCTTGTTTTCTGCTGCCCTGGAGACTAGGACGCGGAACAATGGCTTCAAACTACAAGAAAGGAGATTCCACCTGAACATGAGGAAGAACTTCCTGACTGTGAAAGCTTTCAGCAGTGGAACTCTCTGCTCCGGAGTGTAGTGGAGGCTCCTTCTTTGGAGGCTTTTAAGCAGAGGGTGGATGGCCATCTGTCAGGGGTGCTTTGAATGCAATTTTCCTGCTTCTTGGCAGGGGGTTGGACTGGATGGCCCATGAGGTCTCCTCCAACTCCATGCTGTCCAAGACTGTTGCCATCATGTCATTGTGGATGCATATGCATTTCTAGCTGGCATGGGCAAACTTCGTCCCTCCATGTGTTTTGGACTTCAAGTCCCTCATTTCCTACCAGTTGGAATTTCTGGGAGTTGAAGTGCAAAACACCTGGAGGGCTGAAGTTTGTCCATGCCTGATGTATAGTCAATGGCATTGTGGTTTTCTCTATTTGTGTTTTTTTATGTTAAGCAATTGAGTTTTTAAAAAGCAAACAAAAAGAGAGAGAGAGAGAGGAAGAGAGGGGAAGAGGGGGAGTGAGGAGGGAGGGAGGGAGGGAGGGAGGAGGGAGAAGGAGGGGAGAGAGGAGGAGAGAGAGGGAAGAGGGGGAGGGAAGAGGGAGAGGAGGGGAGAGGGGGAGAGAGAGAGGGGGAGAGGAGGGGAAGAGAGGGAGGAGGGAGAGAAGGGGGAGAGGGAGAGAGGAGAAGGGGAGGAGTGGAGAGAGGGAGAGAGTGGAGAGAGAGGGGAGAGAGAAGGGGGAGAGGGAGAGAGAGAAGGGAGAGGGAGAGAGAGGGAGAGAAAGGGAGAGGGGAGAGGGAGAGAGAGAAGGGAGAGTGGGAGAGAGAGGGAAGAGAGGGAAGAGAGAGAGGGAGAAGGGAAGGGGAGAGAGTGGGAGAAAGAGGGAGAGGGGGGAGAGAGAGGGAGAGAGAGGGGGAGAGAGGGGAGAGAGAGGGGGGAGAAGGAGAGAGGAGAGAGGGAGAGAGGGGAAGAGGGAGAGAGAGGGGGGGGAGAGGGAGAGAGAGAAGGGGAGAGTGGGAGAGAGGAGTGTGAGAGAAAGAGAGAGGGGGATGGGAGAGAGGGGAGGAGGGAGAGACTCAGGGAGGGAGAGAGAGAAGGGGAGAGGGAGAGAGAGGGGAGAGAGAGGGGGGGGGTGTGAGAGACAGAGAGGGGGGAGTGGGAGAGGAGGGGGAGAGGGAGAGAGAGAGCGGGAGAGGGAGAGAGAGGGAGAGAGAGGGAGAGAGAGGGAGGAGAGGGGAGAGAGGGGGAGAGGAGAGAGAAGGAGAGGGGGAGAGGAGAGAGAGGAGAGAGGGAGGGAGAGGGAGAGAGAGAAGGGGGAGGGAGAGAGAGGGAGAGAAAGGGAGAGAGGGAGAGAGGGGGAGAGGGAGGAGAGAGAGAGGGGGAGAAGAGGAGAGTGGGAGAGAGAGAGGAAGAGAGGGGAGAGAGGGAGAGAGTGGGAGAAAGAGGGAGAGGGGGAGAGAGAGGGAGAGAGGAGGGAGAGAGAGGGAGAGAGGGGGGAGGGAGAGAGAGGAGAAGAGGAAGAGGGGGAAAAGAGGGAGAGAGAGGGGGGAGAGGAGAGAGAGAAGAGGGAGAGAGGGAGAGGGATGGAGAGAAAGAGAGAGAGGGGGAGTGGGAGAGAGGTGGGAGAGAGGGAGAGAGAATGCAGGGAGAGAGAGAGGAAGGGGGAGAGGGGGAGAGAGAGGGGAGAGAGGGGGGAGTGTGAGAGACAGAGAGGGGGGAGTGGGAGAGGGGAGGGGGAGAGGGAGAGAGAGAGGGGAGAGGGAGAGAGAGGAGAGAGAGGGGAGGAGAGGGAGAGGAGAGGGGAGAGAGGGGGGAAGGGAGAGAGAGGAGAGAGAGAGGGGAAAGAGGGAGAGAGAGGGGGAGAGGGGGAGAAGGGAGAGGGGAGAGAGAGAGAGAGCGGGAGAGGGAGAGAGGGAGAGAAACAGTATTGAAGAAAATTCCAGATTAACCCCCTTGGCTTAAAACGGTGCTGCCCTTCTGTCCATGTGCCTCTTGAGCTCCTCCCTGACACTTCCGAGAAGGAAACCAGCCTCCCTTCCTCTGATTGGGCAGCCAGTTCTGGCTCTCATTGTGGCATCTGAATGCCACAGCCAATCAGAGGCGTGGCTTTCGGCGCCGGCTGCAGGGGCAAGAGCAGACTTGTTTCCCTCATTGGGGAGAAGGCGCCAAAGCAGGAGAGCATGTCTGGCCGCGGGAAGCGAGGCGGCAAAGCCCGGCCCGCATCCCAGTCCCGTTCCTCCCGGGCGGGGCTCCGTTTCCCCGTTGCCCGCATCCATCGCTTCCTTCGGAAAGGGAACTACGCGGAAAGGGTGGGAGCCGGTGCCCCGGTGTACCTGGCCGCGGTGTTGGAGTACCTGACGTCGGAGATCTTGGAGCTGGCCGGTAATATAGCTCGGGACGGCGGCAGGAAACGCATCACTCCGCGCTTCTTGATGGTGGCCATCCGCCTCGACCAGGAGATCAACAAAGTCCTGGCCAAAGTCACCATCGCCCAAGGAGGGGTCCTGCCCGGCGTCCAGCCTGCCATTTTGCCCAAGTGTAAGAATTTCAAATCCAGAGGTAAGTGGGGCAGCTTGGGTACTAGGTTGGCATCTAGACTGTAGAATTAACCCAGGTTGATACCACTTGAACAACCATGGAGCGAGGCTGTGGCATCCGAGGAGTTGGAGTTTTACAAGGCCAGAGTGCTGGTGCCTCACCCAGCTACAACTCCCAGGATTCCATAGCCTCCAGCCATGGCACTTCAAGTGGTATCAAACTGGGTTACTTCAACAGTGTAGATGCACCTTAGCAAGCATGATCTGTAGTTCTGAGGGGTGTCCTCCCCATTCACATGGCTATTGGCAAGAAGGCCTTACTCAGTTTAGACATTAAGGAGGAGGCTAAGAAAACACACTCAACTTGTTATTATGTTGTTAATAGGCCTCCTTCTATGAAACATGGGCAAGCTTGTTGCAGGCAAACTTTCAGCGATGGCAGTGTAAAAGCTTTTGGAAAATGTCATTCATAACCTTTTGTGGGAAAACCAGGAATTTCCACAGGTTTTTGGAAGCGTGACCCTTTTGGAGATTAATTGGCATCCACACTATTTGGAATAATCATAACCTTTGGAAAATCATGACCTTGTTAGAGATTGTAACTTTTTGTAAAATATGATCTTCCTGAAAAGAGTTAAAAACTCGCTTGAGTCAGTCTTCTCCTTAGTGGTAAAAATCCACTAGCAATCATGCAAGGCACTTGGGTTTCTCAGCTGTTAGACTGATAAACCTAGTAAGTAACTTACTTTATTTTTATACCCTGCTTCCATCTTCCTGAAGGGACTCCAGGCAACTTACATAGGGACAAGCCTGGAAAAACACAGATTAAGACACAATGCAATCAAATCAAATCAAAATTAAAATCATCAAATAATCAAAACTAAAATAACACAACATCATAAAAGCAATCTTTAGCCTGAATAGCAATAAATACTGAGCTCGGAGGGCTAAGTTTGTGCAATAGTTTCAGGACAGGGGTAAAGGAGAAGTGCAAAATCTGATGAAAGTTAGGGCTGGAAGGGTAATGTCGCTTGGCATTGGTATGCCGGAGCCCCCGGTGGCGCAGTGGGTTAAACCCCTGTGCCGGTAGGACTGAAGACCAACAGGTCGCAGGTTCGAATCCGGGGAGAGGCGGATGAGCTCCCTCTATCAGCTCCAGCTCCTCATGCAGGGACATGAGAGAAGCCTCTCACAAGGATGATAAAAACATCAAAAATCATCCAGGTGTCCCCTGGGCAACGTCTTTGCAGATGGCCTACAACAGGACGCTCCTGACAAGACAAAAATAATAATAATTGGAATGCCAGGACTATGGGGCAGGGGGGCAGTATTAAAGTGTAGGATCAGTTGAAAATTACAGTTAGAGGCCAGTTATCTGGTGAACTGTTTAGTCACAGGCACAGTGGAACATCTACATTTTTAGGTCCTTTCGAAAGGTGGACAGGGTGAGTGCCAGTCTAATCTCCCTAGGGAGAGAGTTCCAGAGCCGAGGGGCCACCACCGAGAAGGCGCTCTCTCTTGTCCCCACCGACTGTGCTTGAGATGGAAGTGGAAGTGAGAGAAGGGCCTCCCCGGATGATCTTAGAGTTCTCGCTGGCTCGTAGGGGAAAATGCAATCACAAAGATAGGCACATCCTGAACCGTTTAGGGCTTTGTAGGTGATAGCATGCACCTTGAATTGGGACCGGAAGCTTATCCATAGCCAGAGGATAAGATACCTCTTTGAACTGTTAGGAACAAATATATGCCAATGCATAAAAATACATAGCAGAGTTTCAGAAATGTTCCTTTCAATTGCCCCAAAAGCATCTACTCTCCCATAAAATATATTTGGCTTTAAATCATGCTCTGAAGGGACAAAAATAAGTAATCTTCATTAAAAGTAACATAGTTGGTTTACTTACAAACTTCATGCATTCAGCATACAGGTACATTGCTTATCAATCAAATTAATGATAGGTTTGAAGTAGTTTATCTGCAGATAACACAGAGCATTTTCCTTATGATTAACACTCCAAAGCATCTCTCTGTTTGGATAGTCTGTAGAGTCTGAGAGTCTAATGGCGTCTCTGCATTCTAAAATGGAGTCTGAGATGGAACAATCCCAGATCTGATCACATGGCCTGCAGTCCCTCCCACAACATAGAGTTAAGGGAAAACTGCATACCAGTGCACACATATACAATACAGTAAGCAATCTGAATTATATACATAACAAATAACTAGTATAGGAGACTTGTAGAAGGTTGCTATTTCCAACAAAAGGGCTGGAAGGGTAATGTCGTTTGGCATTGGTATGCCAGGACTATGGGGCAGGGGGGCAGTATTGGACTGTCCTTCACAGCAGAGAACACTGCAATGTAACTTGAAACAGAACACAAAAATAAGAAGAATCTGTGTTCTTAATTTGTAGGAAGCTGGGACAAACTCTGGTGATGGTCCAGGAACCATGCGCTATTGCTTGCAGAAGCCACCATCTACAGAAGTCCAGGTTTGTGAACATATCAAGAGAAATCTTCAGAGGAGATTGTGGAATTTAAATAATGAACAGAAAAGCATTTTAATAACACTTTGTTTTCATATAACCAGAGATAATTGTCCATTGTCTTAACCCCTTATTCTGGTAATTGTTGTCCTCTTTCTTTTTATTACTTCTTTATCTGCTAGGATCTCAATGCTACCTTATTACTTCTTTATCTGCTAAGACAGTGGTTCTCAACCTGGGGTCCCCAGATGTTTTTGGCCTACAACTCCCAGAAATCCCAGCCAGTTTAGCAGCTGTTAGGATTTCTGGGAGTTGAAGGCCAAAAACATCTGGGGACCCCAGGTTGAGAACCACTGCTCTGACCTATTGGTCTTCAGTCCTGCCAGCACAAAGGTTTAACCCATTGCACCACTGGCTGCACGCAATAACATCCCATGGAAGCTTACTGGCAGCACATGGGGTGCAAACCCAAAATTAGTAAGAACATCAGCCCTGGCCTTGTCTTACTCAACTGCTGAGTATGCCTGCCCTGATTGGCATAGGTCTGCCCATGCAAAGCAGGTGAACATAGCATTGAATGAAACATGCAGAATAATCACAGGATGTCTTAAACCTACACCTGTTGATAAACTCTACAAGCTAGCTGGCATTGCCCCCCCCCATGTGTGATGGGAAGTTGCTGCTAAATGTGAGAGAAATAAGGTTTAACACTGTGAAATCCATCACCACATGGCTACCAGCCTCCTTCCAGTAGACTCAAATCAAGGAAAAGCTTTATGAGAACTACCTCTCCTCTTGGCATCCCCCCGCCAACCGCAAGGGTATCCCTCTGGGAAGCTAGACCAGGAAATCCCAACTGGATGGTCCCCCACGAGGGTCTTCCTTCAGAAGCAAACCAAGAATGGGCAACTTGGAAGTCCCTGAATAGACTCAGAAGTGGAGTGGGCAGAACAAAAGACAACCTGGCAAAATGGCACTACCTAAAAGAATCCCACACCTTGTGTGACTGTGGAGCAGAACAGACAACTCCGCATCTGTATGCTTGTCCACTATGCCCTGCCTCATGTACAGAGGAAGAATTATTGGAGGCTAGAGACAATGCCATTGCTGTTGCCCGTTTTTGGCCAAAAGATATTTAACTGCCTGCACACCTTCTAGTTTTATACTAATTTATGCAATGCGTTTGATACAAAATAAATAAATAATATTCTTTTTAGATATTCTTTGAAAAGTTTATTTTATAGGTTTTCCTGTATTTCTCCTAAGCTAAAAAGTCAATCTGTCCATACCTTTTATTTCTGTCATTTTTTTCCTAATCATTGTTCCTTTGACAGGATTTTCTGTTCTTTCCATAACTTTGTATAAACTATGAAGAGAGAAAGATTACCAAATGATAGAACCACAATGTAAAAAAATGGAAGAAAAAAAACCCCCTTTCTCCTTTGTTCTTTCGCTTTCCCCTTTTTCCTTCTAACTTACCTTATTTCCTTTCCCTATCCATACCTATCCCAACTCCCCCCTTTTCCCCTCCCCATTTTTATCCCCTCCCCATTGCTTTTTATGTGTAACATTTTTTGAAAGTTTAATAAAATTTTATTTTAAAAAAACACTTTCTTTCATATTTAGGAATCTGTGGAGCTGCTGACCAGACATCCTGCATATGTATCTGGCGCCTATTTCAAGCAGAATTATATCAAGAGACCTTAAGAATATAGAATATTCAATACTGATATTGCACTATGCTAATAATATAATATATTGTATCTGTATATATCTTCGGGGTGAGAAGGGCGGCATATAAATGTTGTAAATAAATAAGAAAAGCTGCACCCCTGGCACAAATATGAATATTTTCACAAACATCCTTTGCAGGAGCAAAAAATGCAGCTTCTGCAAATAGTATTAGAATGTTTGGTCTTGGTGCACGAAGAAAAAAAACCAAAGACGGAATCAAAACAAATATTTCCTTTCCCAAGAAATTTCTTCTGAGATTCACAGAGAAGTGGCAGCTTTTCTTGCTCTGCTTCCAATATCTTCAGCTGATGTCGCTAAGGAAAGTTTTAAAGTATTGATGGAGACTATATTTGAAGAGGGGCAAAACAACTGGGGGGAAGTTATAGTTATTTGTGTATTTGCTGGATTTCTTTCTTAGACGTTAAATAAACACGAGCTTGCAAGTGTCGCCTTGTTATTTTTCACATGGTTTTAAAACCCTACGGAGAATGGTTCTCAGAGAACTATGGAAGAAAGGCTAACTTTATTTCAGCTGTAAAGGATATGTGTTTGTGTAATCCTGGGAGTTGTAGTTTTGTGGAGTCCTGATCCTTCTCTGCCAAAGAACACTGGCATTTTGCCAAATTACAATTCCCACAAATCCATAGCTCAAAGAGCGCAGAATTATTTTATTTATTTATTTATGACATTTATATGCCGCCCTTCTCACCCCGAAGGGGACTCAGAGCGGCTTACAAGTAATAGTAAATACAATAGTAAATACAATTGCCATAGCACAATATTAGTGTTGAATATTACTATATTGTGATATTATTAGTAATATTACATGTAATATAAAATATATAATTATGATATATTATTATTAGTATTATATTATATTACATTATAATATTATCAATATTATATGTATATACAGTATACATTTCTTAAGCAGGGTTCAGCTTTGAGAGGAAAAGCTACCTTTCTGTTTAAGCTGTTTCCCTTTTAGTTAATATTTTTGACTCAGGAACTATTGGCTTGCGGATCCTAGATTATCATAAAAGAGGATGCTTTTCCTAGAATAAAAACAATGCAGAGTCCTCCATTACCTTGCAGAGTTTGACATCACAAAGATTTCAATGTAGTCTTTTCTCTAAATGTAAACAAAGATTGATTTGGTCATTTGAGAGTTGTAATTGCTGGGATTTATAGTTCACCTACAATCAAAGATCATTCTGAACTCCACCAGCAATGGAATTAAATCAAACTTGGCACACAGAACTCCCATGACCTGGAAGGGTTTAGTGGGCATTGCTCTTGAGTATGGGAGTTGTAGTTCACCTACATCCAGAGAGCACTGTGGACTCAAACAATGATGGATCTGGACCAAACTTGGCACGAATACTCCATATACCCAAATGCAGACACTGGTGGAATTTGGGGAAAATAGACCTCAAGATTTGGGAGTTGCAAGGTTAAAGGTAAACGGGTTTATAGTTCGCCTACAATTGAAGAGCATGCTGAACCCCACCAATGATAGAATTGGGCCAAACTTCCCACAGAAGCCCCATGACCAACAGCAAATAATGTGTTTTTCTGATGGTCTTTGGTGACATTCTGACACCCCCTCATGACCCCCTTCAGGGGTCCAGGTTGAGAAACTCTGCACTAGGGCCTCATCCTCAGGGTGGATGCATCTAGAAGGAATGGAATTTGACTTCACTTGAATCGCCCTGGCTGGATGCTATGGGGGGCCTGGGAGCTATAGTTTCAAGTCACGTTTAGCAAAAACTACAACTCCCAGGAGCACTGGTATCGAATTGCAGCCATCTCAAGTTGTATCCTGAAATCCTAGGTAAGGTAAAGGTTTTCCCCTGACGTTAAGTCCAGTTGTGTACAACTCTGGGGACTGGTGCTCATCTCCATTTCTAAGCCAAAGAGCCAGCATTGTCCATAGATACCTCCAAGGTCACGTGGCCAGCATGACTGCATGGGGCACCATTACCTTCCCGCCAGAGTGATACCTATTGATTTACTCACATTTGCATGTTTTCGAACTGCTAGGTTTACAGAAGCTGGGGCTGACAGCGGGAGCTCACACCACTCCCCAGATTCGAACCCGTGAACTTTCAGTCAACAAGCTCAGTAGGTCAGCACTTAAACCCACTGCGCTCCATAAATCCTAGGTAAAATACCTCAATACTCATTATATTAAGCATTATATTAACCTCCAAATGGAAGGCACCAGAAGAGTAAAGGCAGCTCCCTTTGGGGTCCTGTGAGTGGCCCTGAAAAGAGCCTTTTGTGGGTGTGTCCTTGGGGGAGCCCTTCTTGCCTTCTTCCCTCCCTCAAGCCCTCTCTCCGCGGATCCGGCGGGCCAGCTGGATGTCCTTGGGCATGATGGTGACCCTCTTGGCGTGGATGGCGCAGAGGTTGGTGTCCTCGAAGAGCCCCACCAGGTAGGCCTCGCTGGCCTCCTGCAGGGCCATCACGGCGGAGCTCTGGAAGCGGAGGTCGGTCTTGAAGTCCTGGGCGATCTCCCGTACCAGGCGCTGGAAAGGCAGCTTCCGGATGAGCAGCTCGGTGGACTTCTGGTAGCGGCGGATCTCCCGCAAGGCCACAGTGCCCGGGCGGTAGCGGTGAGGCTTCTTCACTCCCCCGGTGGCCGGGGCGCTCTTCCGAGCCGCTTTCGTCGCCAGCTGCTTGCGGGGAGCTTTCCCGCCGGTGGACTTGCGAGCAGTTTGCTTGGTACGAGCCATGGCTGCCTTTCCTCGCTCTCCAAACGCCTACAGGCTTCTGGAGCAGCGCGTGCGGAGACGGGGTATTTATAGAGAAACCACCCTCTTCTGATTGGCTGAAGTCGCCGCTTTGAACTCCCCGCGCTGTGAAGGGATTGGACGAGAGAACCTTCACGGGCCTCGCGCTTCTCTTGCGTCTGAAGCTTCCACTGATTCCCCTTAGGAATGGCGGGAAATTCAATTCTTACTGTTTTGGACTTCAGCTCTCACAATTCCTAACAGCCTCAGGCTCTTTCCTTTCCCCCTCAGCCGCTTAAGCGGGAAAAGGGAAAGGGAAAAGAAAGGGGCCTGAGGCTCTTAGGAATGCTGGGAGCTGAAGTCCAAAACATCTGGAAGGAGGGCCCAAGTGGCTCATGTCTGACCTTGAGTCCTCTTTCTGCCAAAGAGTGCTGGGGCCTCATCAAACTACAGCTCCACAGTCCAGAGGAACTAAAAGTGGTACCAAACCACACCAACTTGGCTATAGACCCCACTTGGACAAGGCGCACTCTCTCAGCCTCAAAGGAGGGTATTGGCAAACCTCTTCTAGGGAAAACTAGCCAAAAAAAAAACACCCCTCCTATGAGACGTTTGCCTTAGAAAGCTTGAAGGCACACAGCAGTAATAATACTATGTAGCAAAATTTGGGGAAAATCTGTTCCTGATTCGAACATGTTATTCCTGTTTGATTGTGTGGTACTTCCTTTGAAACCAGTTGTTATGCTCCAGAAATATTGTTTTTGTGGCTGCCACAAATTGAATGGGTCGAGACTCGATGAGATACTCATTGAAAAGCTATAGCAAAATGTGCTGCAGGTTTATTAAATCTTTTCTCATATTTTTATGACATAACCCCAGAATGTGGAATTTTCCCAAATGTCTTTTTGTGAGCAGTTGAAGGGCCAGGGATCAATTTGATAGAAGTTTTCCCTCTTTGGCTCAGGAAAACGATGACTTTAGGAAATGTAGAGCAAAATAATTCGCTGAAAATCCCAGGGACATCAGATCCAGCTGATTTTGGAAGCTAAGCAGAGTCAGGCCTGGCTAGTATTTGGATGGGAGACCACCAAGGAAAACCTGGAGCTGTACACTTTATATCAGAGGAAGAGACCAGAAAAACCACCTTTTGAGTATTCCTTGCCTAAGAAAACTATGAAATCCATGAGGTTGTTATATCTATGGAATTACCATTGGCAAGCACACACAAGACACACACTCTCTGGTTCTGATTTAATCCCCAGATAGTTGCTGTACAGGGTGGGAAAAGAACTCTTGTCTCCTTGAGGCAAGTGTGAATGTTGCAATTGATCACTCTGATTAGCATTGAATGGCCTTGCAGCTTCAAAGTCTGGCTGCTTCCTGCCTGGGGGGATGCTTTGTTGGATTCTCTCTCTCACCCTGGACATTCCACAGATATATAAACCCCATATGCCTAGTATCCAACCGACCTCATAACCTCTGAGGATGCCTGCCATAGATGTGGGCGAAACGTCAGGAGAGAATGCTTCTGGAACATGGCCATACATCCCAGAAAACTCACAGCAACCCAGTGATTCTGGCCATGAAAGCCTTTGACAACAAATAGAGACACTATTTTGGTCAAAGAAAGTGACATGCTTTAAAGGCTGGAAACCTCTAATTTGCTAACTTTTGATGATTGGAAGGAATTAAAGGGTGGAGGGGAAGAGAAGTGGCACAGAAAACTCCTCAAGGCTGTAGAAGTTGTTTCTGTTTTAATTCCGATCGCCGGAAAGGTTAACAGCAACCATGGGTGTATCTACACTATCCAATGAATGGAGTTTGACACTTCTTCGATTCGATGCTATGGAAACATGGGAGTTGTAGTTTATTTGTTTATTTATTTATTTACGACATTTATATGCAGCCCTTCTCAACCCGAAGGGGACTCAAGAGCGGCTTACAAGATATATATACATACAATATATTATATTATTGGCATAGTACAATATCAGTATTATATATTACTATATTGCACTATACCATTACATTGTAATATAATGAGTCATACTGCATGTAATATAAAATATGTTATTATAATACTGTATTATGATTATTATTATTAGTATATTGTATAGCATTATAATATTATAAATTATAAATGAATATACAATATATTATATTATAATATTATATTATAAGTCTAGAACAGGTTCTTTTCCGAACACTGCTGTTTGTCCCCAACAAACTACAACTCCCGGGTTTCGACAGCACTGAGCCATGGCAGTGAAGGTGGCATATTATGGGCAGGGACATCACCAGAGCGAGAAGGAAGCCACGTCGTTCATTGGAGGAGGCGGAGTGGGCGGGAGTTGGCTCGAATAGCCCGCGCTGGGCAATGATTGGCTCAACCGGATTCTTCTCAGGGAGAGAACAGGCTGGGAATTGGCTCTCAAAAACCTTTCTTTTAGGGTTCACTTCCACATTGCAAAATCAAAACAAGACCAAGGATTCCTTAATATAAACCAAGTTATGCCAAGGAGCAATAATTCTAGAGTGTTGATGCCCGCTTAGGAAACAAACTTCCCTGTTTGTTGAGTATGCCAAAGAGAAGCACTTCCGCAGTTAGAAAACCCAAGTCTGGATTTCTTTAAGACAGTTTATGACTAAAATGATTAAGGGTTTGGAGAACAATTGCTATGAGGAGCGGCTTAAAGAGTTGGGCATGTTTAGCCTAAAGAAGAGAAGGCTGAGAGGAGACATGATGAGGGCCATGTATAAATGTGAGAGGAAGTCATGGGGAGGAGGGAGCAAGCTTGTTTTCTGCTGCCCTGGAGACTAGGATGCAATGGAGTCAAACTACAAGAAAGGAAATACCATTTGAACATTAGAAAGAACTTCCTGACTGTGAGAACCGTTCAGCAGTGGAACTCTCTGCCCCAGTGTGTAGTGGAGGCTCCTTCTTTGGAAGCTTTTAAACAAAAGGCTGGATGGCCATCTGTCGGGGGTGCTTTGAATGCCATTGTCCTGCTTCTTGGCAGGGAGTTGGACTGGATGGCCCAGGAGGTCTCTCCCAACTCTGATTCTGTTTCTATGAAAGTCACCTTGGGAGTCCAGCAATATTTGTTGTGCGAGTAGATCCAGCTCTTTCTCTGAAAGTGTGGGTGGCTCTGAAAAGAGCCTTTGGGTTCGACGTTCCGAGGGGGGCTTCTTTATTTCGTCGAGGGCCTTATTTCCCCTTGGCTTTGTGGCTCTCGGTCTTCTTGGGCAAGAGCACGGCCTGGATGTTGGGCAGGACCCCTCCTTGGGCGATGGTGACCTTGCCCAGGAGCTTGTTCAGCTCCTCGTCGTTGCGGATGGCCAGCTGCAAGTGGCGGGGGATGATACGGGTCTTCTTGTTGTCCCGGGCCGCGTTGCCGGCCAACTCCAGGATCTCGGCCGTCAGGTATTCCAGCACCGCGGCCAGGTAAACTGGGGCTCCGGCTCCCACTCTCTCGGCGTAGTTCCCTTTACGGAGAAGGCGGTGGACACGGCCGACGGGGAACTGGAGCCCTGCCCTGGAAGAGCGAGACTTCGCCTTCGCCCTCGCTTTGCCTCCTTGCTTGCCACGGCCAGACATTATGACTCCACTAAGACACTCCCAACACACTGATTACTAAAGAGCCAAGCGGGGGCCTTTTATGTCCTCCTCATACTCGGAATTGACGTTTCTGATTGGCTGCTCCGAACGCCAGGTATTGTGAGCCAATAACAAATAGAATGTGTCGCCCTCACCAATGAGGGAACAGAAAGCCGCTTCCTTCCAATCGGAACTGAGAATGCCACAGGCCTAGGATTTGCATGTGCGCGCGTCTCGGCAAACCACGCCACCCAATGAAAGAGTGTTGCTAGACTACCTTAATTTGCATAGACAGGCTTTAAATAGCCAATGAAAGACTGCTTCCAGGCTACCTTCATTTGCATAGACAGGCTTTAAATAGCCAATGAAAGACTGCTTCTAGGCTACCTTCATTTGCATAGACAGCCTTTAAATAGAGGAGACGCAGAGGAGGAGCTTGCTTTCTTTCCTTCGACTTAGACGTCAAAAGGGAGGCAGCTGCCCTTGTGTTGATTTGAGTTGTTGATTTCACAATGCCTGATCCTGCCAAGTCCGCTCCCGCACCCAAGAAGGGCTCCAAGAAGGCGGTGACAAAGACCCAGAAGAAGGGGGACAAGAAGCGGCGCAAGAGCCGCAAGGAGAGCTACTCCATCTACGTCTACAAGGTGCTGAAGCAGGTGCACCCTGACACGGGCATCTCCTCCAAGGCCATGAGCATCATGAACTCCTTCGTCAACGACATCTTTGAGCGCATCGCCGGTGAGGCCTCCCGCCTGGCCCACTACAACAAGCGCTCCACCATCACCTCTCGCGAGATCCAGACCGCCGTGCGCCTCCTCCTGCCCGGGGAGCTGGCCAAGCACGCCGTCTCCGAGGGCACCAAGGCCGTCACCAAGTACACCAGCTCCAAGTAGAGAAGGGGCTCTGTCTGCTTCCAGGGATCTCAAAGGCTCTTTTCAGAGCCACACACCTTTTCACAAAAAAGCTTGGCTCACTGAAAAATGTTCAATGACAATCAATACTCTTCAGTGCTTGTTTAGGGTTTATCGAGAGAGTTAAAAGCATCTTGAGACAAGCACTGCAAAGAATGTCTTAATACACATGTATCTAACCCAAGGCTGACAGGCCCAAATCCAACTCACATTTTATGTGGCCCTCCAGATGCTGGACTATAAGACTAGGGCCTTCTCAGCCGTGGCCCCCCATCTGTGGAATTCCCTCCTCAGAGACATCAGATTGGCCACTTCCCTCCTGTCCTTCAGAAGGAAACTCAAGACTTGATTGTGGGACCTTGTGTTTGACCATTGAATAGCAGCTAGTGAGAAGAAGACCTGGACTTTGATATTAACTGGCATGTTTTTGAAACTTTATTTAATGTTCTGTTTTAATGAATTTGTTGATTGTTCTTATTGTGATGGCACCGAATGGTGCTTGTTGTGAAGTCCCCCATCAAGGGTGAGAAGCGCAAGGTACAAGTATTTGAAATAAATAAATAAATAAATAAATCCTCACTATTACACATCCTGACCAGAGCTGATGGGAGTTGTGATACAGTTTTATCCAGAAGGCTGCAGTTTGTTTTCCTTAGTTGGGAGACTGGGGTTTGGATTTAGGATACATGCCTGACTTTAAATAAATGAATGAATAAAGGCCGACTGCTCATTGGAGGGAAGGATAGTAGAGGCCAAGATGAAGTACTTTGGCCACATCGTGAGAAGACAGAAAAGCTCGTAGAAGACAATGAATGGAAGGAAAAAGGAATAGGGGCCAACCAAGGGCAAGATGGATGGATGGGATCCATGAAGTGACTGGCTTGACCTTGAAGGAGCTGGGGATGGTGACGGCTGACAGGGAGCTCTGGTGTGGACTGGTCCATGAGGTCACGAAGAGTCAGAAGCAACTGAATGAATGAACAACTGACTTTAAAATGTCCTTTAATCTTTCCCTAACCCCAGAGCAACAAGTGCTCTAGATGTAATTATTTATGGTTGTTTACACCAACATTTCCTTTAGATTGCTTCAGTATTTGTACTTTTAATGGTGGTTCTGGAGGGAGCAATTTACAATGTCTTTTAAGAAGTGGTTATATATGTTCAATATGAAACCTGTTTGGCACTAGGCAAGTCACATTCTCTCAGCCTCAGAAGAAGACTGTCAAGGAAATCCTATGAAAGAGTTAACCCATGTCAGAGTAACCTTGAAGATGCAAAAAGCAAAATAGGTGGTAGAAATAATCTGCATACAATTGCAGGGATCAAAGTTGCTAATACAAAGTAGATCAAGCTGTTTTATGGAATTTAAAAAATATGGGCTTTTGGGTATTATTTTGAAATAGCTGGTAAGGCCAAAAGTAGATCTACTCTAGCCAAGGCTGTAATTCAGGTAGGGTTCCTGTACTTCTAGCTGGCCCACTTGCTTGTTGCAATTTTACTTCCTACTGATGGAGGAAACTTCCTTCTCAATTAGTAACGCTATCAGTACCAACATTTCAGTACAATTGAGGCATAGTCTCAACTGAGTCATGAATATCATTGGTTTTGTGTGTGTGTGTCAGGAGCACCTTGAGAAACTGCAAGTTGCTTCTGGTGTGAGAGACTTGGTCATCTGCAAGGACGTTGCCCAGAGGACACCTGATGTTTTTTCATTCTGTGGAAGGCTTCCCTCATGTCTCTGCATGGGAAGCTGGAGCTGACTGATGGGATGCTCACCCTGCTTCCTGGATTCAAACCACCAACCTTTTGGTCAGCAGTCCTGCTGAGTTCTAGTCTCCCTGAGTCCTGGTTTAGTACACCACACTTCCTCCCTGTAGGCAGGCACCCCATCTTAAGCACCACTAAATACTAGAACAGGAATCCTTCCACACAGCCATACAATCCAGAATATCAAAGCAGATAATCCACAATATCTGCTTTGAAGTGGGTTATCTGAGTCCACACTGCCATATAATCTAGTTCAAAGCAGATAATGTGGGATTTTATTCAGCTGTGTGGAAGGGGTCAGAGCAAGCTCCATGGGAAGCGGTAGTTTTCTCTTTCAACAACTGCACTGCTTTATTTGTTGCTACAAAATAGCAGCAAGGCGAAAGGAACAGAATAAGAGAAGCAATGAGACCGGATAGTTCGGCAATATTGTATCAGTTTGCTCACATTACTAATACTTCCTCAAGTATCCCCTCCCTCTTTCACACACAAAGAGGAAGGATTTAATTTCAAAACATGACAGGAACCAAGTCTTTTCTGCGCAGACTCGGAAAAAACAAAAAAAAGGAAAGGAAAGGCGCGCTTTTGTCCTCCTTGAAGCTGTGATGTTTTGATTGGTCGTTTCAAAAGGCCCTCGTTGTTCATTGGCGGAAGCTGCAGAGGGGCGTTCTCTCGTGAGGCGGAAACCTGCGGCTCGTAGCCTCCGCCTCCAGGGTGAAGTTTTCCCTCTGGTCGGCTTGCGGACAATATAAATCAGAGCTTCTGGAGCCGGTGGCACAGTTTGTCATTGTTCGGAGAAGAGAGAGGAAGTAATTAAGGATGTCTGGTCGTGGAAAAGGCGGGAAGGGGCTCGGAAAAGGAGGCGCCAAGCGCCACCGGAAGGTGCTCCGGGACAACATCCAGGGCATCACCAAGCCGGCCATTCGGCGTTTAGCTCGTCGCGGCGGCGTGAAGCGCATCTCCGGCCTGATCTATGAGGAGACGCGCGGCGTGCTGAAGGTCTTCCTGGAGAACGTGATCCGCGACGCCGTGACCTACACGGAGCACGCCAAGAGGAAGACGGTGACCGCCATGGACGTGGTCTACGCCCTCAAGCGCCAGGGGAGGACCCTCTACGGCTTCGGCGGCTAAAGACAGCGCCTCCCAAGCACCCAGCGAACCTAAAGGCCCTTTTAAGGGCCACCACATCTTCAGTAAAGGGCTTAATTCGCTGCTGTTTACGGTCACTTGGCAAGGCAGCGAATCCCTAGCATGATTATGGGTGCCTCTTCTCTAGAATGTAATGTAATTTTGGGATTATGGCTCATCGTGGGAGTTCTAGTTTGACAAGGCTAAAGCCCTTGCCCAACCACAATTTAACATAGCATTTCAAGCTGTGTTAAATTCTAGATGCGCCCATTCAAGCAGCACGGTTTCAAAGGGATTGATCAGATCAGCCAGAAAGAAATATTCCGTTGTTATGATCACAATCTTGCTTTAGAAATACTATGGCTCTCTTAAAGGGATAGAGCAGGAAAATAAATGGAGGATGGCACGTGTTTCCCAGTGCAGAAGCTTCAGCCCGTCTTTCCTGCAGTCCTTGTGAAATCTGGGTTGTTTTTCGGGCTATATGATCATGTTCTAGAAGCATTCTCTCCTGACGTTTCACCTGCATCTATGGCAGGCATCCTCAGGTGAGACTCCTCAACTTCTGAGAATGCCTCCCATAGATGCAGATGAAACGTCAGGAGAGAATGCTTCTAGAACATGGCCATACGGCCCGAAAAACCTGCAACAACCCAGTGATTCCGGCCCTGAAAGCCTTCGACAATACTTTGTGAAATCCTTTGTTCGCTCCTCGATGACGTCATGGTGACTAGCCAATAAGAACTGCAGTTGTGTATGTGAGCGTGATTCTGTTGCTGAAGCGCGCAAAGCACGCTGGGAACAGTAGTTTGAAGGCTATGCTATATGAGCCTTGCCATCCAAACAAATAGCGTCGCGGTGTCAGTGTCTGTCTTATGTCTCACTATGAAAACAAAGAAAATGGAGTGGATCACCTTCTCCAAAATGTATTATTGCCCCCAAAGTTTTTTGTGTTGCTTATCTCGAAATCACATTTTTACCCTCTAGTTCACAGTTGCTGTGCATACAATGCAAGTTCTTTGACTATGACTAGCTTGAGATGTGGGCAGCATAAACTTCCCTAAGGTGCATCTCCACTGTAGAATGGATACAGGTTGGAATCAAGGGAGTTGTAGGGTTATAAGATTTTCAGCCTTCGCTGTCAAAGAGTCTAATGCTTCACTAACAACAACTGCCATAATTCCATAGCCTTGGGCCCTGGTCTCAAATTGCATTAATTCTATAGTGTAGATGCATTCATTGACACAGCCTGCTTCATCACTGTGGTTGATCTCACCTCTTTCCAAATGCTTGCCTTTTGATGTGTTGATGAAGGCTATAATGGCCAGAATCACTGGGTTGCTGTGAATTTTCTGGGCTGGATGGTCGTGTTCCAGAAGCATTCTCTCCTGACATTTCACCCACATCTAGGGCAGAGGTTGATGGGTCTGACGGAAACTGAGGTTTGTATATCTGTGGAATGTCCAGGGTGGGAGAAAGAACTCTTGTCTGCTTGAGGCAAGGGTGGATGTTGCAATTGGCCACCTTGATAGCACAAGTACGGTTGTTGGGGACGAGACACACACACAGAGAGAGTGTGTTCTCGGTGGTGCCCCCCTCCACCTCTGGAATGCCCTTCCAAGGGAAATAAGACAGGCCCATCCCTCCCCTCCTTTCGTAAGAGCGACCTGGTGAAAACCTGGAGCTTGAAGACAAGCCTTTGAGAACAACCAGTTATAGTCCAGCCCTAAATATTGTTGAATATGGCCTTGCACTTCTTACCTGTTACCCCGGTCATCCATCTAATAGGCCCTGGCAATGAGCAGCCACAGACCTGTACCTGTTATATCACTGTACTTAATTCCCAGCCCCCTCATATTTTGAGTTTGCATTAGCCTTGGCCCGGCTTTTTAATTGCTCTGAACAGGCAGGATTATTTTTAATATACATGTGTTATTGTGATAATTTTATGCTTATGCTGTTTTGTTAATTTTATATGTTTACTTTGTAAGTTTCGGTGATGTTACTTGGAAACTGGCCTGAGTCCCCCTTTGGGAGATAGAGTGGTATATAAATAAAGTTTTATTTATTATTATTTGATTAGCACCGAATGGCCTTGCAGCTTCAAAGCCTGGCTGCTTCCTACCTGGGGGAATGGCTATTGAATGCAGCTTCAAGCTAGCATTAAAAAGTGGTTTTGCTGTGTAAACAATTGCATAAAAAATCCTGGGGCCAGTCTGAAGCTTGGATAGTGGTGCCAACTTCCTCTAGTCATACTGGAAAGCCTTGACATTTCTAGAGAGAACATCCATCTAGGAATCTCTAAGTCAGTGGTTCCCAACCTATGGGTCCCCTGATGTTTTAGCCTTCAACTCTAAGAAATCCTAACAGCTGGTAAACTGGCTATGATTTCCGGGAGTTGTAGGCCAAAACACCTGGGAACTCACAGGTTGAGAACCAATGCTCAAAGTCCTCCAGAGTAGTTCTATGGTCAGAGATGTTTTCTCAAGTAAAACAAGAAGGAGGAAGGTGAAGAAGAAGGAGGGGGAGCAGTAGCAGCAGCAGCAATTTCTTGATGTTGTCAAAGGCTTTCATGGTCGGAATCACCGGGTTGTAGTTTTTTCAGGCTGTATGCCCATGTTCTAGAAGCATTCTCTCCTGACATTTCACCTACATCTAGATGCAGGCAAAAACGTCAGGAGAGAATATTTCTAGAATATGGCTATACAGCCGAAAAAACTACAACAACCAAGCAATTTCTGTATTCATAATTTTCAGCTTCCATGGAGGTTCTGTGCCCTTAGCCTCAGCAATTGTGGAGGGTTGACTATACATGTGAATGTGTATACAGCAGCCACCTTTCAGAGCTCTAACTTCCTCTCTCTTGGTTAGATTCTGAGGGAATCTGGAACTAACCATGAAGTACTTTGCACAAACAACACAGCAGGCATCGCTGTTTCAGCTATGATTCCCAAAAGTATTTGTAAAAATAAATCCTGGAGTGCCTTTTAATTGACATTTTTTTAATGAATCCTCCAAACACAACGATTACAACAAACTCTAACACAAGCATTCTCAATTCTTTTTAGCAAATAAGCTCAAGTAGTCAAATATCTCTCTGATATTTGTCTCTACAACATGATGTCACTGACCATTTTTAACATCTAAATAAAGAATGTCATCTTTGAAATGACACCAGTTTTACTTCCTACATTTTTCATAACTAGTCTAGGAGATGTAGCGCCCTTAGGATATTATTGGGCTGCAATTTTCATCAGCCCTAGTTGGCACAACTAGTTGTGAAGGACTATGGGCCCTTCCACACAGCCCTATAACCCAGAATATCAAGGCAGAATAACCCACATTATCTGCTTTGAACTGGGTTATCTGAGTCCACACTGCCCTATAATCCAGTTCAAAGCAGATTTTGTGGGATTTGCTGCCTTGATATTCTGGGTTATAGGGCTGTGTGGAAGGGCCCTCAGATACTTTCAATCTCACAACAGCTGGAGGAATGCACACATTCCTCTCCCCTGTTTCCGATAAGATGGCAGCATTCATACATTATTTTCCCTCAAACCAAATCCAAGAACATTTTTTCTGATTTTCCTTATAGTTATAAAGATTGCAACCAAGGCCTTTTCTACATTTGAGGAAAACAAAGCACTCCAATTGCTACCTATGGACATTGACTGCGTGTCAACCTGCTGAGACTAGCACTGGCATGGCAAGCAGTTCCCCCTTGGTTCAAAATATCTCCAAAACTCCTACTTGTAATAATTATATTAATTACCTAAATCAGGTGGCAAAGTGGGGGTAGCTGCTAGGATCCTCAGAAAAACAGAGTGACCTCTGAAGTAAGTTGTAGAAGCCGTGCTGGTTGGGGCATTCAGAGTGTAGTAGAAAACATGAGCAAACTTTCAAAGGTCTAGTGATGAAAGAAAAATGCTTCCCAGAAAGATGGGTATAGCCAATCATTGCTAACAAAAAATTACTTGGTTTTTCATCCTGTTCCTGGGATTATTTGGGTCACTGACTCAGAAAATTGCATTCCAATGGACCACATCAGCTCGAGTTTCTTAGATATGGTTTTTATATTTCTCATGACTGAGCACATGAATACAGGTATATGGCATATGTTCTGTATCTCAAAAACTAGAGCAGACAGGGGAAAACTCATGCCATTTTTTGAAATCAGCAGGTCAAATATATCCAGAAACAGGTCTAACATTTGAGGCACCAAAATGTGTGTTGGGCAGTATAATTTTTCCAGCAGTGTGTGGCCATGTTGGAGTATTGGCTATAGACCAGGCATGGCCAAACTTCGGCCCTCCAGGTGTTTTGTACTTCAACTCCCACAATTCCAAACAGCCTACTGGTATTAGCAAGGCCCGGTAGACCCATTCTCTATACTTTACACCCTTAAAGATGTAGTTGGACTGCAACTCCTAGTATTCCTTGCCTTTGGCTATGCCGGCAAGAGATGCAACTGACCATGCACTCTAGAACATGCTGCCTTTTGTGCTGTACCCAGGAATTCTTTTAGTAGTAAAAGGCTGGAAAGCAAACTGACCTGGGAGTTTATCAGCACAGCATTATGGATTATTTTTCATTCATTCAAAGCTTTATAGAAAGTTGCTATAAATGTATGGATTGTAGTTCTGGTCACACTCCCAGTGGCACAATGGATAAATCCTTGTGCCGGCTGAACTTCTGACCAAAAGTTTGGAGGTTCGAATCTGGGGAGTCGGATGAGCTCCTGTCTGTCAGCTCCAGCTTCACATGTGGGAACATGAGAGAAGCTTCCCACAGGATGTCAAAACATCTGGGTGTCCCCTGGACAACGACCTTGCAGATGGCCAATTCTCTCACACCAGATGCGACTTGCAGTTTCTCAAGTCGCTCCTCACAAACACACACACACACACAAAAACACTACTGTCAATATATCACCATCTCAAAAGCAGCAAGGGCAGAAGTTGGAAGGCATCTGGCTCTCAGGACGTTGTTGGACTACAACTTCCTTATACTCCTAAACAGCAAAGTAAATAGTGAAGGGTGATGTGAGTTGCCATCTTTTGAATTCTGGAGGGCCACACACCCCCTGCTTCTGAACTAGGAGATAAATATCATTCATCAATATCTACTGTTTCATTACTCATGCTGTATAAAATATCTCCCCACCTGGAAATGTTCACTGGCTTCTCTAGCTCCTTCAGTGCAATTCTGTGGTGTGCTTCCTGCCCAATATTGTCAAAAGACAGGCTTCATTATTATCAGCAGTTTCAGATAAGCCTTGAAATGTAACTCTCATTAATATTGGGTTGGGAGGGGGTTGTCGTACTCTAAAGCTCAGTTTAGTTGAAGGAAGTAGGAGGAAACTAGTTCCAGGTGGATAGACTCCATCAAGGAACTCATAGCTCTGAGCAGGGCATTTGATGACAGGGTGACTTGAAAATCTCTCATTTATTATTTGAGGCTGACTTTGATGGCACATAATCAACATCACATGTATGATGAGGCTTTTATAGTCCATCAACACTCAAAATATATTCTCCTCTCTATTCTATTTCTGCAAAAGTTTTATAGACTTTCTAGTTTTATAGTCTGATCATCTCAGCCATGCATACCCATTCTAGTGCCATTAACTTGAAATGCTTGGCCTTGATCTTGCACAGGGCAAGGGTGGGGAATCTGTCACCTGGCTCAGGAGGCGTGCCCACTGATACCCACACCTTGAACAAGTTTATGGCCTCCTCTCCTTTCCACTGCTCCTCATCTGCAATGTCTCCAGGAAGCCTGTAACTTTCAAACCAGGGTGGGCGCTGATTTGTGGGCAAAACATCTCATGTACTTCTACTTGAACCTTGATCATCCAAAGCAGGGCACTGCATGGAGGTGCAGCTATGCCATTACCCAGTGGCCATCTCCTCAGGCAGGTGTGACCCGGCGCCGGAAACAGCTGCATGTGATGCATTTGAGGAAACTCATGCTGAGGTGGAAGAGGCCAGTGAAGCGGAAAAGCAGGTTGTAATAGGTGCCGACAGAGAGGTCCCCCGAGGTGTCAGCATATTTCAGGGCTACCAGTGGGGTGTATAGTGTATTTGTCTGTGTCCGGAAGGGTGGACGCTCCTTTGCAATGACATTCACCACAGCCTGGAAAAAGAGAAGGTAGACAAGAGCATGGGAATTTGTGGTGGATTTCTTTCCCTGTTTTTCTTTGTTTTCCTCTCTTTACTCCTTCCCTTTTACTTTTTCTTTTGGAATAACACATGGGTTATAGTATAAATGTTCTGGATTATAACACACTGTAAGTAAAGGTAAAGGTTTTGCCCTGACATTAAGTCCTGTTGTGTCTGACACTTGGGGTTGGTGCTCATCTCCATTTCTAAGCCAAAGAGCTGGTGTTGTCCATAGACACCTCCAAGGTCATGTGGCCAGCATGACTGCATGGAATGCCATTACCTTCCCGCTGGGGCAGTATTTATTTATTTATTTACAGTATTTATATACCGCTTTTCTCACCCCTAGGGGGACTCAAAGCGGTACCTATTGATTTACTCACATTCACATGTTTTCGAACTGCTAGGTTGGCAGAAGCTGGGGCTAACAGCAGAAGCTCATGCTGCTCTCCGGATTCAAACCTGCAACCTTTTTGGTCAACGATTCAGCAGCTCAGCGGTTTAACCCACTGTGCCTGTATCGATACATATATTTTGTTATTCTTTACACTGCAATGGGATCCTTTGCCGTTTTTGTTATAGGACTGATTCTGGAAACAAACTATTTTAGAAGTGTGCAAGGGCCCTGTGCCAGAGCTAAAGAACTGAACACACAGTTGATCTGTCTGCTTTGAAACTTCTTAAGGCAAGGATGGTTAGAGAGCTATATATGGCTCCCAGGTCCCTTTGCCTTCTCTTATCTCTGTGTCCTTCTCTCTCTCTCCCCCCCCCCCCCCCCCCCCGCTTTTTTTTTTGGTAGAAGTCCGGCATGGTGTAGTGATTTGAACATTGGGCTACAACACTAGAGAGAAGGATTCAAACTCCAAGTAATCCATGGGAACCCACTTGGATGAGTCACACTCTCTCAGTAATAGCATACAAAAATGAGCAATAGTGCCCTCTAGCGGATGCAGTCCAGAATGGATTAATATTACAAGAGAATACATTGCACTTCGATAGTAGAATAGATTGCTTTGGAGAGGACAGATTCTGCTCTTTTGGAGATAGTTAAATAGAGTTTGAATGTCCTCCTTTCAGGAATGCCTTGCCTGTGCATTCTTGCATGGCAGGAGGTCATTATGGTTCCTTCCAGCTCTAAGATTGTATAGGTAAAGGTTTCCCCCTGACATTAAGTCCAGTTGTGTCCGACTCTGGGGGTTGGTGCTCATCTCCATTTCTAAGCCGAAGAGCCAGTGTTGTCCATAGACACTTCCAAGGTCATGTGGCTGGCATGACTGTCTGGAGCACCGTTACCTTCCCGACCAATTGATCTACTCACATTTGCATGTTTTCTAACTGCTAGGTTGGCAGAAGCTAGGGCGAACAGCAGAAGCTCATGCCGCTCCCCAGATTCGAACCTGTGTCCTTTTGGTCAACAAGTTTAGCAGCTCAGTGGTTTAACCCACTGCACCACCGGGGGCTCCATGTATACATCTGTTTTTTGTAATTCCCCTCATAGCATGTTTTAGGCCTAGGATGGTAGTGTGCAGGGGTCCTGGGATGTTTTCAGTATCAGAGGTGGCCACTGTGTTGGATGTAAAGAAAGACACATAAATAAAAATGTGGCAAAATGGCCAAGCATGACTTTTAGTGTGGACACTTTTGCATAGATATGCAGGCAGATCAGAGGGAAAGCCTTGTAAGCCAGGCAAGGCAACCTCAAGGTAGTTGAGAGCCATCAAGCAAACAGGACTTTATTACAGAGAAAACTGTTGGCTGTTTGGTTGAGTATTGGCACTTATAGGAAAGTCAGAATGGTGTCGTAGTCTGAGCACTAGGCCAAGACTCTGGAGATCAGGGCCAAAATCCCTGCTCAGTCATGGAATCATCCTGGGTGACTTTGGACAGGTTACATTCTCTCAACCTCAGAGAAAGGCAAAGTACCCCCACCTCCAAACAAATCTTGTCAAGAAAACCCTGTAATATAGAAAACCCTGGGTAAAGAAGCGAGACCTACAATGCCCAAGAACTTTTCTCTAGAGAAGAGGTCCTCAAACTCAGGCCCGTGGGCTGTATGTTGGCCTTTAAGGCAGTGGTTCTCAAGCTGTGGGTCCCCAGATGATTTGGCCTTCAACTCCCAGAAATCCCAACAGCTGGTAAACTAGCTAGGATTTCTGGGCACTGTAGGCCAAAACACCCGGGGACCCACAGATTGAGAACCACTGCTCTAAGGTCATTCACTTGGCCCTGGCCCTAAACTTCAAAATTAGATTAATCCTAAGTCTGAAATGACTTGAAGGCACACAGCAACAATCCTAACTAATTTGACTATCTCATCAGCCAAAAGCAGACTTACACTTGCAGTTGAGATACTGGTAAATTTATGTTGGTTAAAATGGTTCTTCGTTTTAAATATTCTATTGTTCTTTTTTCTTTCTTTCTTTCTTTCTTTCTTTCTTTCTTTCTTTCTTTCTTTCTTTCTTTCTTTCTTTCTTTCTTTGCATTACAAATAAGCTATACGCAGTGTGCATAGGAATTTATTTTCAAACTATAGTCTGGTCTCCCAACAGCCTGAGGGACTGTGAACAGGCCCTTGGCTTAAGATGTTTGAGGATCCCCGCGCTAGAGGCTCCTCATATCACAAGTGAGCATGTTCGTACCTTAGCCACCGACTCAGGAGTCTGGCCCATGGTGGAGAATATCTCATGCGAAGCTGGCAAATAGATCTCCTTGAAGTAACGCACTGTGGTAGCATCGGCTCCTGGGAACTCAGAACGTGCCACTTCCTCCATCAGCTTCATCTCAAATTCTGTGTTCACTGGGCCGGGCTCCACCATAGATACACTGTGTAACAGAGAAGTTGTTGAGACTGAGAAGGAGGCAGCATTTGGACATGGATGGCTCATATCAGATATCTGAAGTCAAAATGAATTAGGAATAGCTTTTGCAAATACCGTATGCTCCTCTATTTGTGAGGGATATCTTCCAGACTTTGCATGGATATGCAAAATCAGAGATAATAGCAAAGTCTATTGAAATACAGAACCTTCTAGGCCAGTGTTTCTAAACCCTCCTAGTGCTGCAACCCCTTAATACAGTTCCTCATGTTGTGGTGACCCCCAACCATAAAATTATTTTTGTTGCTACTTCATAACTATAATTTTGTGACTGTTATGAATCATAATATAAATATCTAATATGTAAGATGTATTTTCATTCACTGGAACAAATTTGGCACAAATATCCGATACACCCAAATTTGAATACTGTTGGAGTTGGAGGGGATTGATTTTGTCATTTGGGAGTTGTAGTTCACCTACAATCAAAGAATATTCTGAACTTCACCAACGATTGAATTGAACCAAACTTGGCACACAGAACTTTCATGACCAACAGAAAATAATGGAAGGGTTTGGTGAACATTGACCTTGAGTTTTGGAGTTGTAGTTCACCTACATCCAGAGTGCACTGTGGACTCAAACAATGATGGATCTGGACCAAACTTGGCATGAATACTCAATATGCCCAAATATGAACACTGGTGGAGTTTGGGGGAAATAGACCTTGACATTTGGGAATTGTAGTTGTTGGGATTTATAGTTCACCTACACTCAAATAGCATTCTGAACCCCACCAGCAGTAGAATTGGGGCAAACTTCTCACACAGAACCCCCATGACCAACAGAAAATACTGTGTTTTCTGATGGTCTTTGGTGACCCCTCTAACACCCCCCCCCCCCACGGCCTCCAGGTTGAGAAACGCTGTTCTAGATGAAGTATACTATGGAGTTGTCCTGGAAGACTTAGAAAATGCCTAGAGAGATCATATTTTATCAAACATGGATATTGTTCCCAAGGATACTGGGAACATGGTCAACCCACATATATTCCAAAATGATACTTTTAGAATGAGTACATTTAACAATCAGCTCGCTTGGAGAAACCTTTCTCTGTTTGAGTTATATATTTCACATGAGATTAAGGCATGGGTGGTGAATATTTTGCCCTTCAGAGTTTTGGACTATGATTCCCATAATGCCTAATCATTGGCAATACTGTCTTGGCTTCTAGGATCTTATTTATTTGTCGTGTCAGAGCAACCAGTTCTAGGATCTGAAACCAGATATATCATACGAGCTAAAGATTCCTCAGTGCTAGAAGAAGAGCTCAGTTCATGGGCTTTATTATGATTTACATGCCCCCAACTTTGGCAATTTTGCCATAGATCGTGTCCTAGCTATATACATTTTCCTGGTGCATGTTTCCTCTCCCAATAGAGATGCACACTCTTTTAAAGCAGAGGTTAGATAAACATCTTTCAGAAGTGCTTTAGTTGTATATTCCTGCATGGCATGGGGTTGGCCTGGTTGGCCCTTGGGGTCTATGATTCTGTAATTGATGTTCAAATTAAATTCTCTTTGGTGCAAAATAATGATAATATCAATGCTTAGTTATTAGCGAGTGGTGGTAATTATAGTTAAAGTGATTCCGCCAGTTTTTTAATCCTTAGCCAGCAGCGTGCTTAACCCAGATTGACCCTGTCTTGTGTTGTGCTTTCCAAGCATGGCCTCTCTAGTTCTTTTTATCTCACATGTCTTTCTCTATTCTCCCTTCCATGGATCGATTCAGATAAGGGAAGAGAACATGGCAAGCTCAGCTCTAATTAAAAACATCAGTGTTCTGTCTTTAATGTTTTAATGCATTTCTGCTTTTAATACTAGCAGGTTTATGTGTCATACTTGGAACGTTCTGTGGTTTATTGAACAAAAAAAACAAAAACAAAAGAGTTGCTATACTAAAGTTGTGAACAAACTGTAAGTACTGGTAAGTCAAACTGGAAAGATTTGGGGTTGGAAATACAAACGTGAAGCTTCTTGGAGCTCTGAAAAGAATGTAAGGGTAAAGGTTTCCCCTTGACATTAAGTCTAGTTGTGTCTTACTATTGGGAGTAGTGCTCATCTCCATATCTAAGCTGAAGAGCCGGCGTTGTCCATAGACACCTTCAAGGTCATGTGGCTAGCATGACTGCATGGAGCACTATTACCTTCCTGCTGAAGCAGTACTTATTGATCTACTCACATTTGCATGTTTTCGAACTGGTAGGTTAGCAGAAGCTGGGGCTATCAATGGCAGCTTATTCCGTCTTGCAGATTTGAATGGCTGACCTTTTTGGTCAGCAAGTTCAGCAGCTCAGTGATTTAACACGCTGCACCACTGGGATATTTTCAGCCTCATTTTCTGACAAAAGGCTTGCTTCTTGATTTATATGAACTGATTATATGTATGTTGTCCAAAGCAAAGAAAAGTGGCCTTTTTTGGACTGCAGCTTCCAGAATTCTTCAAAATTGAAAGTCACTGGTCATGTTACTTGAGGCACTCTAGGCACAGTTAAAGGGAAGGTTGGGTCCTAAAACAGGAGTGGACAACGATATTGGGATTGATTTTCTCCCTTCCTGTCTTCCTTCTGGGCAGTGTCCATCCATCCTTTGACAAAAATACCTCTGTATTCTTTTTACCATTTTGGCAATATAATCCAGATACAATGGCACAGAGAGAGTGGGTTCTTTGAAAAATAAGATGTCCAAGTACTGTTCCATTATCTGGGTGGAGGCTTCTAGGAGGCACTAGAAAGAGTAGGCTACAGACAGGCATGTAGCTGGGGGGGGGGGGGTGGGTTGAGGGGCTTCAACCCCCCCCCCCCCCGAAATTCTCATGGTGGTTCGCGAAAAGGCCTTACTGGTGCATTATTTAAACTGTTATGTTTATTCATATCATGATCTGATCAATATATCCCATATATACTCATAAAAATACAAAAGGTTTGCTAGGGTAGACCCTCTTTCACTCAGACTCAGCCCCCCCCCCCCCAAAAAAAAATCAAAATCCTGGCTACGGGCCTGGCTACAGACAATCCATTTTATAGGGGCAGGGAGCTGAAGGAGGAAAACCATTTGCTGGTTATTCCCGCTTTCCACTTCCCATATCATAAATGAGGATTGTTTCCATGATGGGGACATAGATGGGGGGAATAAAAGGAAAACAGGGGGAGATGGTTTAACTCCTTCAACCGCCCCCCCTCCCTAAAATGGATTATCTTTCTCTCTCTAGCACTTCCTAGTGGCCTCCACCCAGATAATGGAACAGTACCGATGTGCAGAACTGAATTGTGGACTAAATAGTACAGAATAGAATAAGACTATAATTTCACTTTCTTGGAAACTAGTTTTATTAATGAAGCCCAAATTTATCTTTTTTTGCTGTAGCATGACACTGCTGGGTCAAGCTCAATTTATAATAAAAAAATAATCCCAAGGTCCTTTCGCATTAATTACTTATCTTCTCTTTTACGTATGCTACTGTTCACTGTGCCTGAGGGTGATAGGAATGTTGAGTTCTATTTTCCACACCTGCTGCCCAGTCTTTGCCCCAAATCTACCCCAAAGCAGCCACTCCACTTTGTCTAATGATAGTGTTGGCCCTATCTTAGGATTTCATCTTTTGCAGCACACTCCCCTGCTTTTCTACTCACAAGATATTGAATTTGAGGAGTTGCACAGCCAGGCTTTCACAGAAACCTTCCATTGCAAACTTGGAGGCAGCATAGACATCATTGAAGGGAACACCTGGTTGGAAAGGAGAGCAGATAAGATGGGAACACGCAATCATTGCAATCCATGCCATAGGCTATTATCTTTTTGGCTGAACAGAACCAGGGGAGCATAATTGATTGATATCAGCACCACATTTCAGGGATCTTTGGGCCAGGTGTCCTGAATGGACCCAGATTCTCCTCTCCTGGTACATTGGTTTGCCTTTAATGTCTATCTATCTAGATGCCCACCTTCCTTTTTTATCTTGATACCCCAATCGAAGATAAACTGGCAGGGACACCAAGGAAAATGTGTAATCAAATCAAGGATCGCCAGGCAATTGATATGCAAAGCACAGGCAAAAGCAAAGAAATACCAACTCCAGTGGAGCTAAGAAGGCTGAGCCGCAGGTAAAGTAGATCTGGGAGTCACTGAGACACCTGAGGAACAGACTCTGGGTGTTTTAGGATCTGAAGTGAGATGTGGACTGTATGCATTGTGGATTCAGATGGATATAAAGAGAACTTAAATCAAAGAAACAGGGCTAAGGTGTATCTACACTGTAGAATTGATGTTATTTGACATCACTCATGGCTCAATACTTTAGGACTATGACAGTGGTAGTTTTACAAGATCTTTTCTCCTCTCTTTTAAAGAGTGCTGCTGTTCACCAAACTACAACTCTCAGGATTCCATATCACTAAGCCATTGCAATTAATGTACTGTCAAACTACATTAATTCTACACTGAAGATGCATCCTAATCCCTCTCTGAGCAGAGCAAAGCGAATTCTCAAGGTGGAGATTAGAACTTTATCACATATTTGAAAACCTAAACATTCAGATCTTTTCCTTGATAATGGACATTTGATTATTCTCCTTTGTTCATTGAACAAATAAAATCAGATGCCTGGAAAAAAGTTTATACATATATACGATGTATATAGCCCTTATGGTACAAGTTTTCAGTCCCATTTCAAATGGATACAATGTGGAGAAGTGGTTCCAATGTTAGACAATAGACAATCCTCAAACTGTGGCCATCCAGCTGTTTGGGTCTTCAACTCCCAGAATCCCTGACATTTGAACAAGTTCATTAGGGATTTTGGGAGTTGGAGGCCCAAACAGCTGGAGGGCCACAGTTTGAGTAGATAGTGACTTGGGCAATATTTATTCTAGTCCCCAGTAATCCATGAAGTTAAGATAAGTATCAGTGCAGCTTGACACCACTCTACCTCCCATGGCTCAATGCTATGGAATCCTGGGAGTTGTAGTTTAGAGAAGCACCTTACAACTCTCACAACTGTATAGCATCGTGTGATGGCACTTAAACTGGAGTCAAACTATATTAATTCTATAGTGTATAATTAATGCAGTTTAGAATTATAGTGTGGAATTAATGAAAAATTTGAATAACCCTAGGCCACTCAAGTGCTCTCTCTCTCTCCCTCTCGCTCTGCTTGACCCTACCTCACAGATTGTAGAGAGGTTTCAGATGGAAAGAAAAGGGCAGTGCACACCACCTCTAGCTCATTGGAAAAAATGTGGGAAATAAATATAGTGGTGGATAGTCATGACAACAAGAAGAGGAAGAAATCTGGACCCAATTATTTACAGCTTTTAAAAATATCTGTAGACACTCAATGACTTTCATTTGGACTCAGCACAAGATCTCTTTTGCCGCCTGACTTTCATCAAAAGCTTGCAAAATTGAATGCAGGAGTCAGGTTGTTCTCCTGACAGCATCAAATTCCTACCTTGTAACCCCATGACACTGCTGATGACAACAATGTGCCCCTTCTGCCGCTTCTTCATCTCAGGGAGAACAGCTTTGATCATGCGAATGGCTCCAAAAAAGTTGGTCTCAAAGACCCGCTTCATGTCATCAATGGAAATGGACTCCACGGGGCCCACAAGTCCCACACCAGCATTGTTCACTAAGAAATATAAGTGCCAAAGGTTTATTTTTAAAATCTATACACATAATAAAAGTGAAAATGTGTATGTGGGTATGGCTGGTATGCCCACTTACACAGACAAGCCCCTGCCTCCACAAACACCTATAGCTCCCACTGTGCAGGAGACACCAAAGGCCCTCCTTCCAATGACATTGCAGGTTAAAGTGAGCACCATGAACTTGTACAAGAACCCTGCCAGTGTCCTCCACCAAAACAATCCTGCCCACAAGCCAAGTGTAGGCTTTCATACAGGAACAATTTCATCTTAGATTTTATGTGTTTTCTCCACCACAGACATCCCAGTGATTCTGACTCTCTAATTTGCATGAGCCCACCCCACTGCCTCTCCCATAACCCATTCCTATTCACAACAGAGGAATTGATCAGCAACTGAGCATACTAGAGAGGTTTGGGGATAATTCACCATGATTTATAGGAGTTGTAGGTACTAGGATGTATAGTTCACCTGCAATCTAAGAGCACTCTGAACTCCGCCAACGCTGGACCTGGAACTAACTTGACACACAGAACCCCCATGACCAACAAAACACACTGGAGTTCTTTGGAGGGATATAGGAGTTGTAGTTCATCTACATCCAGAAAGCACTATACACCCAAACAATGATGGATCTGGACCAAACTTGGCATGCATACCCAATATGCCCAAATTTGAATACTGGTGGGTTTTGAAGGGGATTGGCCTGGACATTTTGGAGCTGTAAGTACTGGGATTTATAGTTCATTGGCAATCAATGAGCAGTCTTAACTCCACCAAAGATGGAATAGGACCAAACTTGGCACACAGAGCGCCCATGACCAGCAAACACTACTGGAGGTCTTTGTGGGAAAATTAACTTTAATTTGCGGGAGTTGTAGTTCACTTACTTACATCCAGAGAGCACTGTGAACCCAAACACTGATGGATCTGGACCAAACTAGGCACACATACCTGATATGCCAAAATTTGAGTACTGGAGGGGTCTGGAGGGAACTGACCTTTCTAGGAGTTGTAGTTCACCTACAACCAGGTAAACCATGACCTCCACCAACGATGGACCTGGACCAAACTTGGCACACAGAACCCCCATGACCAACTCAACCTACTGGAGGGGTTTGAGGGGACTGACTCACCATAGTGGGAGTCGTAGTTTACCCTGCATCCAGGGAGCATACTGAACCCCACTGATGATGCATCTAGAACAAACTTGCCCAGCAAGTACTGATGGAGTTTCTCGGGGTTAACCTGGCATGGTGTCAGTTGTACTAAATCCACAACCTTATATATTTTGTACAATTTTAAAAAAATGACTTTTTCAAATAACCTGGGCAATGCTGGGTACCCAAGCTAGTAAATAAATAAAAATGACAGTGGCCACCATGTTCTATATTATTCACCCTACCCCCCAGCAGTGCAGCTTCAGCCAAAGTGCATTTTGGAGATACTTTTATAAAATTCCACTTTTTGGGTGCATCCACACCATAGAATCAGTGGGTTTTGACTCTATTTTAATTGTCATGGCTCAGTGCTATGCAATCTTGGGAAATGTATGAGGTCTTTAACCTTCTTTGCCAAAGAATGCTGGTACCTCATCATCTATATCTTCCAGGATTCCATAATATTGAGCCATGGCAGTTAAAATTTAATCAAACTCTATCCATTCTGCATGTACATGCATCCATAGCTCTTTATTTATCCATGACAGTAAAAGCAATCTTACTGTCAGTACTTATGTCTAGCTTACAGGCTTCTCAGTGGCATCACTGACTGGTCACTGTAGGAAACAGGATGCTGGACATTTTTGCAATATGCTCTTGCATGTATCTATATTGACCCTGAAATGGCCATAAAAGAGGAAGAGATGTTTCACATGCAAAACAAGTGACTTACAATGGTTGCTACGCAGCTGAAACATCATAGTCAAGGCCTAGCAAGGACACATGCAATAGTTGCAGCATCCCAAACAGGGCAAAAGGACCAAGCCAAGCTGAAGACAAATGGCCTTACTTTGGACATCTTGACATCTCACTGTCAGGTAGGGCAACACTCAACTCAATCTAACTTATCTAAACAGTATTTTATCTCATCTGAAGGGAGCCGTTTTGAATTGAAAATGTATACAGCCTTTGTTGGGCTTCCCCTTTGATAAGTAACTTAAATACAACTCCTCAGCCTTAACTTCATTGGCTAGGGTTGTTAATTACTCACAATTAACATCAGGAGGGCTAGATTGTTCTCATAGAATAATGTGTGAGAGAGGTTTTGCAAATTTGGAAATAGGTTGCTGTAAGTTCTTCGGGCTGTATGGCCATGTTCCAGAAGCATTCTCTCCTGATGTTTCGCCTGCATCTATAGCAGGGATACTCAAATGTTGTGAGGTTTAACATTTGGAAATGTTAAAAATAAGATACAAGTATAATAATATATACCTATATAAGTGAATGCTTAAATCCCATCCCAGTACATTCTCATGTAAAAGTAGTTCCAGGAGCGGGGTAATATTTATTTGTTTATGGAATGTGTGAATTGATTCTTCGTGACCTCAAAGCATCCTGTGAGGTAGGTTAGGTTGAGAGAGCGTAATTAGCCCAAGTTTGCCCACGGAGATGTCCTCGCGTTCTGATCCTATGTCCCCGGAAAGTTTTCAGTTCAGCATTCTTCAGTGATGTCATGGCAAAGTTTGACTTTCTGGTGCTCATCCGAAAATACTTTAACTACAGCCCTCAACAAAAGTTCAGATTTCAAGGGCTTGTATTGAGCTATGTTTTGGTGTTTTGTTTTTTATTCTCTCAAGGAGGGGGGCTTTTGTAAGGTCAGTAGGTCTTGCTTGCTTGCTCAAGATCAAGTCATCTAAAAGAATGGGAACCAGATAAGTTCAAGCAGTGTGGGTAAAGGAATTCCTATAGCTTTAAGCATGTGAGCCCTGTTTCCATTACACACTGGTTTTCCTCCTCAAACTTACTCCAAGAAAAATCTCAGGGATGAGAAAGAACACAGTTCTTGTAACTGGGAATATGGAAAATGTCCTCTTTTTGACTCATCATAGATTCTGGCTCGAACAAAAAGAGTGCAGAGATTCTTTGTAGTGGACTTGCTCCTTTCTTGCCTGATTATCCATTGTCTTCTTCCACTGGTGAATTTTAGCATGACTTTTGCTAGTTTTGTTGTATTTTTGAAAATCAGTCTGGTTCAGCAGTTAAATAAGGTTGGGACTGGATTCAATGACTTAATGTCACTGGACATTAAGTCCAGTTGTGTCCAACTCTGGGGTGTGGTGCTCATCTCCATTTCTAAGCTAAAGAGCTGGCGTTGTCCACAGACACCTCCAAGGTCATATGGTCGGCATGACTGCATGGAGTGCCGTTACAAGCCTTGCTGGGTAACCTGGGTCCGCTATTTCTCTCTTTTTCACTTTTTCTTGGCCCAATTCTCTTTACAGACTGCTATGGAGATAATTTTAGGGAGAGGAGAACTATGTACCCTGCTTTATATTCCTTGGAGGAAGAGCAGGATTTAAAAAAGGCAAAGGAAAGATTAAAATGTTGATTTTGGTAGAGTGAAGGGGCTGCCCACTTTCTTCTTTCTGTACATAGATTAGCTTTCTTATACTTCAGTGTGTTTCCTTGGCCAAGGAAAAAAAACCTGCTGCAGATTTGACTTAAAAGTCTCTTAGAAGGTGTATAGAACCCTGCTTATGAAACCTGCTAATGTTATCAAGATTTATGCGTATTCTGAATTAGTACTTAAAAGTTCAGTTAGGTAATAGAGTTGTTGTATTAGCCTTGCTGCAGTAGATGATTTACAAAGCAAATACTTAATAGAGTAAAGACCGTCCTCTATTACATTACATTACATTCTTCTCACTTGCAGCACCAACACTTGTATACTCTGATAGATAGGAACAGTGACGCCTCTGACTAAAATACAAAGGTAACCAAAGTGCATTGCACCAGGTGAACTGCAATTTCTATGACGGCTTAGTCTGGAAGGTTAGGGCAACAGCTTGGGGGGGGGGGCACATTTTGCTCAATATCTGAAGTACCTACCGAGCACATCCAGCTGTTTCCCAGGAAGGCTGTTGATACATTCAGTTACAGACTCATCGCTGCAGACGTCAAGGCGCTGGATGGTGAGGGTCTTGTTGAGTGTGTCCCCTGCAGCTGCCTCTAGTTTGTCTTTCTTGCGCAGGTCACGCATGGTGGCAATGACTGCAAGGGAGAAGGTGCACAGGCACTTAGTACATGCTGTCTAATGGAGAGACAGTTCATAAGAGAAGAGAAGTTAAGCAAAATTAATGGAGAAAAATTATCAGTTTATTTGTAATGTTGTGTGTCTTCAAGTTGCTTCTGGCATCTCTAAAGTGAATCTATCACAAGGTTTCCTTGACAAGATTTCTTCAGAGGAGGTTTGCTATGCCTCTGAGGCAGAGAGAGTATGACTTGCCCAGAGTGATATAGTGGGCTTCCACAACTGAATGAGGATTCTCACTCTGGTCTCCCAGAGACTTAGTCCAGCACTCAGACAACTACACCACACTGGCTTTTCAGCTTACACACATCTAGATCCATCACTTAATCTATATAAATAAAAATGTAATGTTCATTTGTGGGATTGGACAAATTGTTACAAAATTTGGACACAATACACCTATCAGGCCAACAAGTGACCATCACTCATAAAAACACTGAAAAATACAGTAGAAGGCACGTAAAAAGCCAAAACACAAAAAATACATTACAACACATGTGCAAAACCATATTTGTACACAAACACACATATATACACATATACACAAATGTGTGTGCATATATGCACACATATATGCACACACAAAACACATACACAAAAAGGGGGAAGGAAGGAAGGAAGGAGAGAAAGAGGGAAAGAGAGAAAGAAGGAGGGAAGGAGAGAAGGAAAGAAAGGTAGAGAAGGAAGGAAGGAGAGAAGGAAATAAAAAAGTGAAAGAGGGAAGGAAGGAGAGAAGGAATGAAAGAGAGAAAGAGGGAGGGAAGGAGGGAGGGAAGGAAGGAAGGAAGGAAGGAAGGAAGGAAGGAAGGAAGGAAGAAAAGAGACAAGGAAGGATGGAACCAAGGAGCAAAGGAAACGAGAAAGAAACAGGAGAGAAGGAAGAAAGAAGAAGGGAAAGAAAAAGAGGGAAGGAAAGAAGGAGGGAAGTAAGGAAGGAGAGAAAGAAAGGAGAGAAAGAGGGAGGGAAGATTGGCCACAGCAAAGCATGGCGGGTACAGCTAGTAGGTATATAAAATACGTATTAAAAAAAATCAGCATTTACTTGTAAATCAGCCTTTACAAGATTTATTGGACAAGCTGCTTTTTCTTTTTATTAGGTACAGCTGAAAATCCAAAAGGGGTTTACTTCTTATTGAACAAAACTGATCAGCACACAGTTTATAATGTTTTCACTGGCTCTTCATGACTAGAGACATGTTACTTAAAGAAGAAGAAACTAAACATTTTGGGAAACTGGGATTGGAATATATGTGTTTGTGCCCTTGTGTACCACTTTGGTATCCACTAATATGACAACTGGCTTCATCCTGATCACCATCACTTATAATCTTAGGCCCCTTCCACACAGCTGAATAAAATCCCACATTATCTGCTTTGAACTGGAATATATGGCAGTGTGGAGTCAGATAACCTAGTTCAAAGCAGATATTGTGGGAATTTTTGTCTTGATATTCTGAATTATATGATTGTGTTCATATATCCTTCCCCCTGCACACACACCAGGGCTATTTGCTCTGCTCCAACTTTAGACCCATTAGCATTGGCAGGAGGGTCTAAATTGGCTGGCTCAGAAGCAGAGAATGCTGTCTCTTTCCCAGGGGTCAGGAGGGCAATTGAGGATTCATGCATTGTAAGCTGCTTTGGGTTCATGATGCCAAATCCCTATGTAGCTAATCCCCTTTGTGCAGATGAAGATTGGTGCCGGGGGTCATCTAACTAGTGTCCAAAGGAGGAACTCTGTTCTGCCAAGAGTACCAGCAATGTTTGTGTGTTTTGTGAGTGCATATCTGTGCGCCTTATCTTGTGAAAAAGTTAGACATTATACACACAAATATGTATGGAGATTCTCAGTAAATTTTGCTATTTATTATTTAGTTTTGCCAGAGTGCTGTAGTGGTTTAAGAAGTGGACTATTGATTCTGGAGCCCAGGGTCAGAATCTTCACTCAGCTATGAAATGCACTAGATCAGTGGCTCTCAACCTGTGGGTCCCCATGCATTTTGGCCTACAACTCCCAGAAATCCCAGCCAGTTTACCGGCTGATAGAATTTCTGGGAGTTGAAGGCCATAACATCTTGGGATCCACAGGTTGAGAACCACTGCACTAGATCAGTGATTCTCAACCTGGAGTCCCCAATATTTTTGGCCCACAACTTCCATAAATCCCAGCCAGTTTACCAGCTGTTAGGATTTCTGGGAGTTGAAGGCCAAAATATCTGGGGGCCCAGGTTGAGAACCACTGCACTTGATGATTTTGGGCAAGTCACACTCTCTCAGCCTCAGAGGAAGGCGAAAGATATGCCTCCTCTGGACAAATAATGCCAAGCAAACCCTCTGAGGTTAGAAATGATGGGAAGGAAATAACAACAAGAACAAACTGTAGATGGGGGTGTTGTAGAAGATTGCAGAACCTATGGGTTTCCTATTACTAAATGGTTCAAAATTCATTTCAGATGTAGGGTGCATTGGGGGTTCAATTCTAAAGTTGCGTCCAATTTTTTTTAAAAAAAATTCAAAACTTTCCGAAATCTCCAAAACTTCTGAATCGCTTTGTTACTGACATACACACATGCGCAGTAGGAAAAAGACAGCACTAGCACTAGGGAAAATTCAGGAGATTCTTCCTCCCTCATTTTTAGACCAATCCTAATGAAACTTGCTACAGTGGTAGAATACATGGACCACTGTTAGCTCACACATTTTCATAACCTTTGACTTATCCATGGATTTTTGGTGAATTTTCAAAGTTTTTATAAAAAAAACATTTTTAATAATAACGAAACTCTGTTCCTGGTTTGAAAGTGTTATTTTCTGTTTCCTTGTGTGGTCTTTACTGTGAAAGTAGTTGTTCTACTCCAGAAACTTTGTGTGGCACAAACTGTGTTAAATTGGTGGATAACAGAAATTATAGTACAGACCCCATCAAGTGAAGTCTAGACTGACATCCCCCCCCCCCTTTTCTGGGAAGAAAGGCACCATCCAAACTCTCTTGACATCCATTTGCTTCCACTACTGAGTTGGAGGGGACCCTCAAGACACATCCATCCATTTATTCCTTTTGCAGATGCAGTCAATCATTTTATTTTATCATTACTTACTGATGTAAAGGCTGGCTGGCTGTGGCTGGCTGGCTACCCCTGTGCCTTGTTCATGGCAATCAGGCCAAAGTGAAATGATTGGTTTTTAAGCAGTTTATGTTCTCTCGGCTTTGCAAAAGTTGCTTATTGCTTTGCTGCTGTCTTTAGACACCTTTGTAAATTCAATCAATTTATTTTATATTTAGAGGAAGACTGCTACAGACCGCTATAGTAATTTTGGGTCCTTCAGACATTTTGGCTAATGAGCAGCAAGTCAGTGTGGGAAATGTAGTTTAACAGCAGGGCCTTTTGCAATCTCTACCATTGGGGCCTGGCCTTCACAAACTACAACAATGGCTGTGCTTAGCCACGCCCACCTCATCCCTCCTTGCATTGCCGGAGAAGGGAAAGCAGGAGATTTTAAAACTTTTTAGGCTTTACTAAAGTTGCTTAATGGTTGTGAAAACTAAAATAAGCTTGGGAGACATCCAAACATTATGGAATATTTCCGAAAAAAAGATAAGTGGTTCAAATTTGGATTCCCCCCACCTTTCCTGCATGGTTCAAAACTTCTTCGAAAGTCAAAATTCGGAAGTTTATTCCGACTTTCAGGCTTTTCTGAATGAACCTATCCAACTCTAGTTTCCTAGTATTGGTGAGCCACTACTTCATCATGGTAATAGAGTTCAATGCAATCCGGTGGGACATGGCTTCCCTATCTCTACTATACTTGTTATTTGCAGATAGTTTTTTTTTTGGGGGGGGGGGGGTTATAGAATGCTGACATACTTTTGGGTACTAATTGGTATAACAACTCTGTTATGTAGCTTATTATATATCCCCCCCACCACCTTGGTTTTGTGAGTAACAGCATGTGTAACACTTCTGCCTTTTAAGGAGGAATCATAGCATAAAAACAGTGCTTTGTATCTAGAAAGTCTCAATTCATTCTCCGGTATCTTTATTTAAAACACGAATAAATAGAATAGGTGCCAATGGGGAAAAAAACTTTGATTTGCCAGTTGCTGCCAGTCAGCATAATGAACACCAGATTTATGAACAAAAAGCCTGAGACCTGGCATAGCGTACATTTTTACAGACAAATAAGTTGAGGCAGAGAGAAATTTGCTTGAGGAATGCTGCATAATGAATTCATGCAAATCAAGACAAGTCTGAAATATCTTGATTTCCAGTTTTCTGAGCTGTAATAGGTTAGAATCTTTCACCTTCCCCCTTAAATTGCAAAGTGTTACCATCTAGTTTGGGTTAAAGACCCCTGTATTTCTCAGATTTGCTATTTAAAAGAACCCAAGATTCTAAATCAGTAGTTACCAACATGTGGTCCATGGACTACCAATGGTATCCAGGAACTAAAATATGATCCGCAGCCTCACAGTTACTACACCGTTGCAATGAGAGCGACTGGTCTCACAAAACCCTCTTATAGTGGCGAGACAATGGGGATGTTGGGAGGGGAGAGGCTGACTACTCACGAACGGTGCGACAAGCCTCCTTGTGCTGCTTCTCCTCCTCCTTCCTCTCCCTGAGTGGAGCCATTCCATGCGGTGCCTGGAAGTGGGGGTGCCTTGGTGTCTTTTTTTTTAGACCTGTTTCTAGGGTCATTTGGGGTGCTGATTCAGAAAATTGCACTGGAGAGAACATATCAGCTCTAGATTATTAAATTTGGTTTTCTGTGGGCAAGCAGGTGGTGGCTATTGTACGGCATATGTCTGTATCAGAAACTAGAGCTGATGTGGTCTATCAAATGCAATTTTCTGAATCAGCAGCTGAAATAACCAAACCGAATTTAAAGTTGACCAAAAACTTATTCATAACCCTTTTGGAACTAATGTTGGAGAGTGGGTCCTTGGTCAAAAGGAGGTTGGGAACCACTGTTCTAGATCCTATGATTGTGGGTAAACAGCTTTCAATGATAAAATGCAATATTAACAGTAGCCAATATTTTTTGTCTATAAATGACAGAAATTTTGTATAACATCTCGAGGCCCAGTTTTGGACAAAATATAAGACATATACGAGTTGTTCGAACATGGTTTCAACAACCAATCTGTATCAGGTTTTCTTACTCATGCTTTCTTATTTATGGACCCCAACAGCTTATCCTGCTAATCTACCACCAAGCAACACCAATCCCATCTTTCTTCCCAACGCCAATGCAGGGGGTGAGTCCTGCTAATAGGATCGACCCCTGTAATGTAATATAACAGAATGGATTATCTGTGAGTGGAATTTAAAGGGAGAAGGGGATTAGCATAGAATTCTGGATTCCTTTGGTAACAGTATTTGTGACTGCCTGCACTTACAACCTGTATATCTCATAAATCTTCTCAGCTTAAGAAGCAAACCCAGATTGGGTTGTACATGTGCACAGTAAGACCAAACACAGTGTGACTCAATGTGGTGTGACTCAATGTGGTGCAAGAAACATCTTGATGTTTATACACTATGCTTTTTATGTAGTAATGGTCACTAGATTAGCAGGCCTTCTGCTAGTCAAATACTGGCAGAGAATAGGTCTACCTCAATAAAACATTTATTTAGTTTTATTGCTCAATAAAACTAAATAAAAACTCCATCTACAGCAGTGGTTCCCAACCTGGGGTTTGTGGACCACCAGTGGTCTGCAAGAACTAAAATATGATCAGCAGCCTCACCATTACTACACCATTGCAATGAGAGTGACTGGTCTTGCAAAACCTTCTTATAGTGCCAAGGCTTATTAAATATGGTGTTCTATGGGTGAGCAGATGACTACTACTGGAGGCATATGTTCTGTGTCAGGAACTAGAGCTGATGTGGTCTATCCAGTGCAATTTTCTGAATCAGCACCCCAAATAACCAAACTAAATCTAAAGTTGACCAAAAACCGATTCGTAACCCTTTTGGTACTAATGTTGGAGAGTGGTCCCTGCTCAAGTGATCCCTGGTCAAAAAAGGTTGGGAACCACTGATCTACAGTCTTCCTCTAAATGCCAGTGGCTGTACAGCAGAGCATTGACACTCGTCATTCAGTGAACTTCACAGTGTCATTTGACTGGTCACTTTTTGTAAACAGAACCTTTGGTCCACCAGACAAGCCAGCTCTGTCCTTATGAACTTTGTATATTTTGCATGCATTGTACACATGCCCAACTATGGGCTATTAGACAGCCATGTGTGAAGGGTAATATATTTTATAGCCCGCAGTTGTGTGAACAGCGCAAAGCAGCGTTGATCGCTGCACTTTGCATTGTGATGCCCCTTTGGTGCAAAGCATATCGTTCACAGAGAGAGCCAGGATACAAAGGTACAATTCTCAGAAGATCTCTTATGTATCAGTTTCTGAAGCATTATCTAACAGGCCTGTGGTTTGCTCTCTATCTCTGATGCCCTTTGGACTCAGTGCCTCCTTGATCCAGTTACTTAACTATGTAAGTAGCACAAGGCATCTTGTTTTGCAAACCACCCACCCAGAGCAAAATTGGCAGGGATGGAGCAGGGCATTTGTGGAGGAGGGAGAAAGGGGTTGGCCTCTAATAACATTCTTATGATGCCCCCCCCCCCCCCGCCACAAACCCAGTCATTTGTAAATGGTTACACAAGTGCCTCTTGTGCCTAATCAAATACAGGGAAAAAGAAATTGCTGTATTCTACTAGACAGTGCGAGTAAAGCAAGCAAAGAGGTGTGACGGTGGTAAGATCTAAGAGGAAGAGCAGGAAGGCCAGCTGGTAGGGAAACCTGAGGCTGTTGGGAATGAAAAGGGAACAAAATGAGCATGCAAAGTACCAGGAAGATTTGGTAGAAGGGTTGGGGGTATTCTGGACAAAGTGGGCACCTGATTGGGTGAACAAGAGGGTTGGAGAGTCAAGAGTGGGTGTGGCAGCAGTCTCACAATCTGTGGTAGCCTGTTATGGAGCTCTGAGAATTCATGCCCCACTTTAAAAGAGATACTCTGGGTTCTTCTAATACATCCCTTTCAAAAGCATCATGTGGGGCCCTTCTCACTCACCTGATAAAGTTATCACTCAGTCTCTGGCTCTGCCACTGCTTTTTCTTGTGAGCAATGGGGGTTGAGCATTAGAAAAGATGCTTAGAGGTTGCTATAGTAAAGCTATTGAAACATCCTTCCCACCACACCATGTCTTTCTTTTCCCCTTTTTGCCAGCTGCTCTCTCCCCTCTAAAGGAGCATCCAGTCACACCAACCCAGCTCCCATTCCCTTCTGGATGCTTTGGTCTCACCGTGAAATCGCTTGCCAGGATCCTGCGCCAGCATCACAGCCATGCGCAGCCCGATGCCCGAGGAGCAGCCGGTGATAAGCACAGTGCGCGGAGTTGCCTTGGCCATGGCTGAGCTGCAGGGACTGGTGCTTGGAAAGATCAGGGCAGAGAGAGTGACAGAGCTCTGGCGTCCAGCATGTGACCTGGGGATCAGCTGGTGATAAGCATTGAGGTGGGCGGGAGCAGCTCTGAGCTCCTTCGGGCAATAGCCACCCCTCTAAAGCAGTGACTGCACTTCCCAGAGCTCTGCCATTGACTCTTCCCTTGCCCTCCTCTCTTCCCCAAACATACCGGCTGTGTCAGTGGACTTCTTGTAGCCATGTACCCTAGTGGGTGGTCCAGGAATGTGCTCTGGTTGGCTGGATTAGTATTCAGGTGGTCAATAATAATACCTCTGCCCTATAGGGATACTCCAACATTAACTGAGCAGAATTGAAGGAGAGAGGCAGATAAATATTTTTTCTCACTACAGCCCCTGGAATCTCTAAGCCATGGATTAGAAAAAGTAAGCCTTTCAGACCCTATGACAGAAAAAATGCATACAAGTGTTTTGAACATTTAGAGGGAGCAATCTAAGAGGCACGATTGTTTCAGACATTGCAGACTTTGCATCCTAAAGAGAAATGGGAAATGTCTGACTCGGGGTGTGTGTGTGTGTGTGTGTGCTCATCTCCATTTCTAAGCCGAAGAGCCAGCATTGTCTGTAGACACCTTCAGGGTCATGTGACTGGCATGACTGCATGGAGCACCGTTACATTCCCGCTGGAGTGGTACCTATTGATCTACTCACATTTGCATGTTTTCGAACTGCTAGGTTGGCAGAATCTGAGGCTAATGGCTGGAACTCACCCCACTCCCCCGATTCAAAACACTGATCATTCGGTCAGCAACTTCAGCAGCTCAGCAGTTTAACATGTTTTTTTCCATACGTATAACTCTATACCAAGGAGGTAATCAGCTAGTCTTTCAAGTTATTATGGACTGACTCCTAGCAACCCTTTCCAATGGTAAGCCAATGGTAAGAAATGCTGAGAATTACAATCCAGAAACATTTCCATTCCTACTCTAGACTATATCTGGCTATTGTTCTAATTTAGTAACAATAGTACCAAATAATCCTCTGTCATCCCAGTTTTTCCGCGGCTATTAAAATGTCCCAGTTTTTTTCTCCTTCCACTTTCCCTCCTTTGCCCCCAGCTTACCTCAGTTGCTACAAACTGGGTTCAAAGTGAAAAAATAGTTTGCACTCGATTAACTCAGCAGGTAGGAGAGAAGAAAGCAGGCTAGATTTTTTTCCCTTTCCAATAGGCTCAGGCAAAAGCATCCTTTCATAGCTTGTCTGTCATCCTTATGAATAACTTTTGCCATTTAGACCACTCTCTAATGTTGCTCGGTCATATGTGTCCCAGTTTTCACTTGTGAAATGTCAAATTTACAACAAGGGGTAAATTTCAATTCCAGTTCAGTTCATGGGCTTGCTGGGCGGCAACTCCCTCCATTTTCATTGCCCATCTTGAAAATGAGGAGTGAGAAGGACCTAACTCAAAGGGTGTCATGAGCAATTATTTGCAGCTAAAAGGACAATCTCATCTTTCTTCTAAGAGACACCAATATAGACTCATCTCAAGATGAGCAAACAACCCATGTTTTTTCACTGGGGCATCTTAGAATAGAATTGGTCAGAGGAACTAGATGACATTCTATTTGAGCAAGATCAAATGGATCCTACTTTGCAATGGATAATGATCCAAGGATGTTGTTGTTGTTGTTCATTCGTTCAGTCGTCTCCGACTCTTCGTGACCTCACGGACCAGCCCACAACAGAGCTCCCTGTCGGCCGTCACCACCCCCAGCTCCTTCAAGGTCAGTCCAGTCACTTCAAGGATGCCATCCATCCATCTTGCCCTTGGTCGGCCCCTCCTCCTTTTACCTCCCACTTTCCCCAGCATAATTGTCTTCTCCAGGCTTTGCTGTCTCCTCATGATGTGACCAAAGTACTTCAACTTTGTCTCTAGTATCCTTCCCTCCAATGAGCAGTCGGGCTTTATTTCCTGGAGGATGGACTGGTTGGATCTTCTCGCAGTCCAAGGCACTCTCAGAACTTTCCTCCAACACCACAGTTCGAAAGCATCTATCTTCCTTCGCTCAGCCTTCCCTAAGGTCCAGCTCTCACATCCGTAGGTTACTACAGGGAATACCATGGCTTTGACTAGGCGGATCTTTGTTGCCAGTGTGATGTCTCTACTCTTCACTATTTTATCGAGACTGGACATTGCTCTCCTCCCAAGAAGTAAGCGTCTTCTGATTTCCTGGCCACAGTCTGCATCTGCAGTAATCTTTGCACCTAGAAATACAAAGTCTGTCACGGCCTCCACATTTTCTCCCTCTATTTTCCAGCTGTCAATCATTCTTGTTGCCATAATCTTGGTTTTTTTGACGTTTAGCTGCAACCCAGCTTTTGCGCTTTCTTCTTTCACCTTGATTAGAAGGCTCCTCAGCTCCTCCTCGCTTTCGGCCATCAGAGTGGTGATCCAAGGATGCAACTGTGATTTTCTGGGAAAACTGGGGGTGCCTCTCTAGAATGCTATGGATGCTCAGTATTGTAGAAAAGGGCAGCTTTTTAGAGACCCAGGATGTGAGGGCATCCAGAGGCTTTTGGACTACAATTCCCAGTAACCGTAGCCAGTTTAGACAGTGGAGAGATATCACGAGACCTGCAATCCATCTACATCTGGAGAACTTCCTATTCTCCAGTCCTGTTTAAAAAAAGAAGAAGAAAAAGAAACATCTTGAAGTCTGGAGCACAGCTTCTTTCCAGTAAGGTTTTTTCAAAAAATGCTGCTTCTCTTAGTCTGTGTTTCTACTGTCCTATATCCCAAGATCTGATCCCAGACTACCTGCTTATCCCAGATTATCTGGCAATGTAGACTCAGTTGAAAGTAGACAATCTGGGATCAGAACATGGGATATAGCAGTATAGATCCGGCCTAAAATGAAAAAAAATATTTTTCCAAATTTTACACATTAGCCCTCGCTGCATCACTGGGGACTAATGTGTATGTATTATGTGCCTTCAAATCATGTATCAACCTATGGCAACCTCATGTATTTCACAGGGAATTTTTAGGCAAGGAGATTTTGCAATCTCCTCTGAAGTATAGCCTACAAAATCTGGTATTTATTGGTGATCTCCCATCCAAGTACAAACCAGAGCTGACACTGCTTAACTTCCAAGACCAGAATCTACTGCGGTCTTTGATGTTGTGTGCCTTCAGGCCATTTCTGACTTGTGACAAGCTTTAAGGCAGACCTAGGGTCTCTTGGAGGAATTTATTCAGAGAGAGGATTTCTCCATGGGTTTCTCTAAGGCCGAGAGAAGGTTTCCATTGCCTCCCAGTGCCCTAGTCCAACACTCAAATGTCTACACCACACCTCTCTACCTACCTGTAACACAGGTCATTTATTGAATGTGCTTTTGTTGAAACAGAAGATACTAATGCAGAGGGGTTTTTGTTTCTGCAAAACCTGAACACTGTCACTAGATGACACTGTAGGCCAGGTCTTAGTTTTTGATTGGGGGCAGCTGAAAGGCAATAGTATTAGTTTACTCTTTGGGTTCGAAATCTGCCAGTTGAATCATTTAGGGAAATGAGAGGAAGTGGCTTAAAAATAAGTAAATCTTTCTACAGTTAGAATCTGCATGTTGTCTCCAAAGCTATTGTTGGAATTATCCTCTTGCCTGAAAGTACTGTAGCTTCCGAACAATTATTTTTCCGTCTTTCTTTTTCTCACACACAAGCACATTTTGAGAGCATTGTACATTGAACATTACAGGAAGTCATTTTGTTAAAAGAAAGCACTATTTTTTTCTGGCATATCAAACAAAAATAAATAATTTGGTGGAAGTCAAGTTAAGTTTTCTTTGTAGCTCAGTTCTGCCTGAAAGAGGTAATCCCACTAAGTTTAGCAACACTTACTCTCAAGTAAATAGGCCTAGCATGGCATCCTTCCTCTGTAAGATGAGTTCACTCTGGGATGACCTTAACAAAGAATGATGGGAAACTTCCTAGCCAAATGTGACTTAAGGGACTGTATTGAGAACATGGCCTTCAAGGATTTCATGTCAAGAAAGCATTGAGCTGAGCCAAAGGGCGGGAGAACCTGAGGCCTTAACTGTTTTGGACTTCAAATCTCATTACCCTTGGACAGGATTACCAATGGTAAGATATGGTGGCACCTGACATTTACAGCTGCAAAATCTTTCCTTCTCCTATTTGGAAATGGCCAATGGGAGCCTTCCTCAAATAAGTATGCTCTCTTAACGTTTAGAAAGCAGCCCCATCTTGTCCACCCAACAGGTGATGGAGTCTTAGGCCCCTTCTACATTATCTGCATTGAACTAGGTTATATGGCAGTGTAGACTAAGATAATCCAGTTGAAAGTAGACAATGTGGATTTTCGCTTTGATAACCTGGATTATCTGGGAGTAGAAGGGGCCACAGTCCCAAAGTCACCCACCCCTCCCCAACTCAGTGTTTGTTTTACAAGCTGTCACCTGAGTTGGCTGCTTTGCCCTGCCATTCCCTTACCTGTTCCTTGCCTGGACAATTAGGCTGGTCTCCTTCAAAGAGCCTGTATGCTGTGTAGGTTAAGGCTGATTCCACTACACAAGCAAAGCGCTATGATTTCACATACAATCAAAGAGCATTCTGAACCCCACCAACAACACAATTGGGCCAAATTTCCCACACAGAAACCCCATCTATTGAAGGGACTTGCTGACGTGAGCCTCCCTCCAGTCTCACACGCTCTCCCTTGCCCGCACATGCGCACTAAGCTGCTATATGCCGAATACGCCTGCTCTCACCTCCCTGGTTGGAGTCTCAGAAACTGTTGGAAACTAGGCACAATCAAAGTGCTATGATTGCCTTTAACTGCCACGGTGGTCCACACTCTCGTAACATCCAGAATAGACTACTGCAATGCATTCTATGTGGGGTTGCCTTTGAAGACGGTTCGGAAGCTTCAAATAGTCCAACAAGAGGCAGCCAGGTTAATAACTGGGGCAACATACAGGGAGTGCACAACTCCCATGTTACGTAAGCTCCACTGGCTGTCAGTTTACTACCGGGCACAATTCAAAGTGCTGGCTTTGGCCTATAAAGCCTTAAATGGCCCCGGCCCAGTTTACCTGTCTGAACACATCTCCCTTTATGAACCACTACAGAAACTAAGATCTCCTGTGGAGGCCCTGCTCTCAGTCCCACCACCATCACA